GATTCAACTTACACAAGGGTAAGGAGCCTTTCCAAGAAACGGAGTTAGCTAGCTTTCCGTTTCAAAAGATAGCTATAGACATAGTCGGACCACTCATGGTTACTCCTAGCGGAAATCGGTATATTTTATCTATAATTGACGTTTTCACCAGGTACTCTGAGGCTGTTCCTATTAAGGACCAGACCGCTAGGAACGTAGCTGATGCCATATTCCAACATGTGATATGCCGGTATGGTTGCCCTGAAATTATTGTTTCGGATCGGGGGGCTAATTTTACTTCCTCCACGTTTCAAGACTTGTGTGATGTTCTCCGAATCAAACATAACATCACTACTGCATACCGCCCGTGTGCAAATTCGGTCTGCGAGCGGTTTAATAAATCTATATGCAGTATTATAGCTAGGATCTCCAAAGGAAATAACGGGAAGTGGGATGAGCATCTTGCTCAGGCGGTGTTTGCCTATAATAACGCCACGCATACGTCTACCGGCGAATCCCCTGCCTTCCTCCTTTTCGGTTTCGACCCCAGGGTCCCTCAGGTCTTTCCTACGGGCCAGCCCACCTACAATCAATTGTCTGATTATCGGAGGGAATTATTAGAGAAGTTGAACACTGTTCGTAACCTGGCTTATTCACGGGGTAGGAGAAACAACTTAAAAAATAGAGAGCGGTGTAATATCAAAAGAAAGGGGCGTGTTTTCAGTGTTGGTGAAAGAGTGTGGCTGCTACGCAAACACCAGGGTAGAAGATTTGGAAAGTTCTCCCCTAAGTATTCGGGTCCCTTCCGCATTACGAGAATTTTAGGCCCAGTAACTGCAGAGTTGGGTGATGGTAGCGGAGGAAAAAAATGTATTGTACATTTTGATCGTTTGAAACCATATTGTTCATATGCTGTATGTAAAGGGCGAGGCCCTTACCGACCCAAGAGTGATGAATCTCCTAATAGGTCTGATGACGATGATGATGATGGAGAAGAGGAGATTACATTACCGTACGGAAGACCACCGATTGCACCCATCAGGATACCAGACGATGACGTACCACCCGAAAATCTTCCCGAATTGGATGACAGCCGTCAAGCTGCTCCTGCAAGCAATAACCGTTACCACCTTCGTAGCAGGAGAGTAGATTACTACAAACTCCATCATGGACTTTGAGCCTTCTCATTGGGGCGTATGTGGCTACACGCCTGTTTTTCTTTTATTAATATTATTATTATTATTATTAGTCCGTATAGTTTTAGTTTAATTTAAACTCTAGAACTTTCCTTCCTTCCGATTTCTTTGTTCCTTTGTCTCGGATTTCCAAGAATTCGCCTCACCCCTGACCCATCAGGGGGTAGCCTTAGACAAAAGACGAAAACGGGTCTGCGAGCGAGGAAAACAAAGGGTTTTTAGGCACTCTTAGGCCGGACTCGGAGAGAGAGAGACGTGTGGCAGAAGGCTCTGGAACAAAAGGTCGGAGGAGCGCTGCAGAAAGAGGCCGTAAGAAGCGCATTGATAGAAGAATTTAGTCGACGATTATAAGACAACGCCGAAACGGACCGAAACGGTTCTAAAAGGAAGAACAGCCGAGACGAGGAACTGTAGAGAACTACCAGGAAATTCGGGTACCCTCTGTCCTTTAATTCTTCTTATTTCCCCTTTCTATCTTTTCTATCTCCTAGTTTATTTTAGTTTTAAGTTAGTTTAAGTTTCCGCGCGCAACTACTTTTGTCAAGAGATAGTTATCGGAAAAGTAACTACCAGTATATTGGTATATCCGGTCGCTCGGGATTTTGGAACGTTTGTAAGTAACAGCGGGAATCCGAACTCATTTTGTAAATATATTAATGTTAGCGCGAAATTAAACTTGTTTCATTGGTAAAACGTGTCTGTGTTTTCCTGTCCGCGCTATACATCTTCACAACTACATCATCATCATCAATGTATTCGTTGTCATAAAAAATTGTCTTTTTACTTCTTTCCCAAGACTACAAATATTCAAGTACAAAGTAACTGGTTTCAACTTATTATAAATAAAACCCTGCTGAAAGATTCGGAATTTTATTTAAAATATAACATAAAAATTTTTCTAGTTTATTTTATTTAATTAAAAAAAAAAGTAGGTGGCGTTTAATGCCGACTGTTCATTTTAAAAGGCCGTCATTTGTTTTCGTTGTGTGAATCTTACAGTATTAAGAATGTAAGAAACTACTAATATTACTTTGTATCGTTTAACTTTTCAAATTATTTAAACTAGTACTTTAAAAGTAAGATATGTTTTTAATTATTCTAAAATCAAAGATATGGCACATTTGTCCTTGTATAACCTCATCTTAACCAGGAAACATTTTTTTTAAATGAATAACTGTTGTTATTTAGCATCTCTCATTGTATACAATGTTTCCAGTCATTTCACATTATTAAATTATAATGAAATGTGCAATGAGAAATTCCTTTATGACAAAATCTTCCAGATTTTATATTTAAGAACTTTTATAACTTGAATTGACATTAAGAAATGACTTTAAAAGTTTGCAAATATTTTGTGATAATTTATTTACGTGACTAATAAGTATGCTTATGAGAACAAATTCGTTTGCTACTAAAAAAAGTCATATAACTATGCTCGTTTCCATCATATACAGTAATGTACTTTTTGTGACTTTCTCCCCCTTAAATTGTAGTGAATAGCCCTGAGTGAGAATTGGAAATAGATACAATGATTGAGATTAACACTATCTGAAGTATGATTAATTGTATTTAAAAATATCAATTTTGATGATGATGCTACAGAAGAATCATTTCTTGGTAGTTCTTGTTTGTAATTTTGAAACAAATTTTCTTTGTGTGAAATCTATTCTTATAACAAATTTGAATTATATCTCTTTTGCTTTCAACAACTATAAGAGATATGATTACAGTAGAGCACCGATTATCCGAATCAGTGGGGGGACTGGGGTTGTTTGGAAAATCGATTTTTCGGATAACCGATTATGTATGACAAAATATATTAACCTATCCCATGTTGAAATTCATTCAAATCCTGGCACGTCCTTAAGTACCCTTTGGTGGTTGTGCCAGTGCTGCCAGCTAAAACACGCACACCAACAAAAATAATAATGGAGTAGCCCAAGACATAGCCAAAGATTGTAGTGCCACAGCACTAGTGGAAATTTAAATCTGTCGACTGGAAAGCTTTCGGTTAATTGACGTTTTGGTTGATCGATATTCGGATAATTGATGCTCTACTGTATTTCTAAAAGTTAGAACAAAATCATAGTCATTATTGGGTTTAAACTATTGACTTCATATAGCAACATATATTTTTGAATTGATTTTCTACAAAAGCTTTTAGATTCCAAAAAACTTTCAGTATGCGTTATATTAGGTAAGATGTGAACTCTGAATGAGGGATTTGCCACTCTTCTATATGAGCAAAACAGTCAAGATATTTGTCTTCAAAGGTCAATTTTTACCATGAACCAATATACTGCCTATTTTCGTCAGTCAAGGTCAGTGCCATAACTAGCCATTCCTGTGCCCTGTGTAAAAATTTGCATTTAGGCCCCTTAATTAATTAGGTTTGGGAAAATAATAAAACAAATACATGCATTTTGGGCACCCTTTCAAGTGGGCCCTGTGCGGGTGCACCTGTTGCACCTGCCTAGATATGGCACTGGTCAATGTGACTATTGCTCAGTTGAGCGATAGCTTACCATGAACCTGTATACTGCTGATTTGTCATGCTCTGCATCTGTATGCACGACTACATGCTCACATGACACTGTGCATGTAGTCGTGCACTTTGGTGCTAGCTGTCACTCACACTTCAGTGCTTACATGGGGTGAACCTCACACTTCCCAAAACTATATAACATCAAGTACTTCACAAACAGTCAAGTTGGCTACTCAAAGCTGGAATAGTCATGTGGGCTAAATAGTTTAATGTGATAGTCTTAGCAGAGCAACACAACTCTGATTGCGTATGACCTGGAGGAGGCTGATTTCATGGGCTCTATCTTATGAATGGTTATTAAATGTAGAGGTATGGTTCCTTTGATGTTTTCGCTCCTATGAGTATGGTCTACAGCTCTCTAAGATCCCAACCCTCTCATTCAGAGGTGTAATTGTACCTTTTATTAATGAAGTTATCAATCTATAGTAGTTTGATTGTTTTTATTTATTTATATTCTCATCACTTAAACAAAGGGATTGTCCATAAATTAAGTATTGCTGTTTTTATACTTTTCAACTATCATTCCTCCTTTAATACTCCTTAATGCTGTCACACATACCCACCCCAAAATTATATAATATGTATCCTTAATTAACCTATTTAGTTGTTTGTACTAAAGAATAGTTCACAGTATGTTATACTGAATGCTAAGTTATTAATAAAATAACATGGTAATATAAACATATGAGCCATTCACAAGCCAAATTGATTAACTCCACATTTCAAATTTTTTTAAATGTATAAGATAGCATATCTATGCTATCTTATACATTTTATATTTTTATACGTTGTTTTTGAAACTGTGTTTTGTGAATATATTGGACTTTGAACTCATATTTGCATTATAAATAAACACTTGGCTTTATTTCCATCATTTTTAGTTGATACATGACAACAGCAGCACGTTTCGGGCATAAAGTCCCTCATCAGTCAACTAAAAAAAAAAAATACAATTTTTTAAAATATTACATAAAATATCTTACAAAACAGAATTAAAATAATGTATATTTCTTACCATATCCATTTTTAATCTGTTAGACATACAAGGTCTTAATTGGCGCACACAAATTATTTAACAATAAGTGGAGTAATTTCATTAAAATTTGTTATAAATGATCTTTTATATATTTGACGGTATCCTGGAGTCTTAGACATAAACACATACATATTTCAAAATAGAAATAAACTATTTTTTACATTATTGTTTTTTAACTGTACCTGCATTACATACTGCATTGCAGTGTTGTACTGATTTGGATATTACAAAGAAAGTTATTATTAATATTAACAACAGCATAACTTTTATAGATAATTACAATCAACATTAATGTATGTTGTGTATATTATAATATTTTCATCCAGTTCTCATTTATTTTTACACTTAAATTTTTGTTGATACAATTTTTAGCTGTTAAAATTGAGACACTTTCTTTAAATTTTCTATTATACATATTTTTCTCTTTGTATAGGATTTTAACATTATTTTTATCTATATTACAGTCATTTATTAAACAATGGTCATGAAAAACAGAGTTTAGTCGATTATATTTGAGATCTGCAATATGTTCTTTTACTTATATACTCAGTTTGTGTTTAGTTTCTCCTATATAGTAGTTAGTTGTATTACAGGCACATGGTCTTATATACTACATATCTTATACACTACATTCTTTGTTTCTTGTTCTTTATTATCTACTTTATTAGGTTTTACCAGTCTTAATCTATTTTCTAATTTTTCGTATTTTGGGGCTAGTTTTGTGTTTATTTTTTGTAAGTCTTTGTTGATATTCTCATATAGTCCTTTTATATATGGAAAACTGATATATTTTGTATCTATATTTAGCTTTTTTGATTTTTTATTATTCATTTTACTTTTTATCTTCTTTTCCCAGCGATCTATTAAACTATTAGTATATCCATTGAGAACAAATTTCTTTTTTAGTTCTTTTATGTAAACATTTATATCTGTAAGATTGCTAGTTCTTGTCTTAATTTTTATGTATTTCATTTTAAAAATGTTATATTTTATATATGAAGGAATATTAGAGTCATATCGAATTGTTACATCTATAGAGCATGGTTTTTTATAGGGTTTAAATTCTAAGTTATTGTTGTTCCATTTTATTGTAACATCTAAATACTTTTATTGGCTTTATTCTCTTCTTCTACAGTAAAGTGTATTTCTTTGTTTATGCTGTTTATGGTTACTTTAATATTGTTGATCGTAGTTTCACTTTCATCGTATATTATTAAAACATCATCAACGTAGCGCCTATAAAAGTTTATCCCTTACATTTTGTTTATCTTCTCATCTATGTCTATCATCACCATCTCTGCCAATTTTGGTCCTACTACAGAACCCATACTAATCCCATCGTTTTGAGTAATGTTTACCTTCCATTTCAAAATAGTTACTGCTATACAAAAAGTTTATTAAGTCTATTATTTCTTGTTCTACATTAAGTTTTTTTAGTTTTTTATCTACAATGTCCCATACCATTGAAGGGTACATATTAGTAATATCCAAACTTGTTTGTATATTACTAATATGCACCCTCAATAGTATGGGACATTGTAACGATGACTCAATTAGATATTTTCATGTAGGACTAGGACAGATGGCTTTCAGATCAAATTACCTTTTTCTACAACAGACACAGAACCAACTTCTGGTGCATATAATACAAAAATTAAACACTGCACAAACATTTCCAACTCCTTCAAAGTTCTTCAGGTGCAATTCAATGGTTACCCGATGGAACGTTATCAGAACTAATGCCTATTTGTAAAAATTTTTAAAACAACATAATTCAAATGACCGTTCAAAAATATAAATTTAATGCTGTGTAAGTTTAATCATGTGCATAACGATCATTCGGTTAATGACTATAAAGTTTTGTCTAACAGGACTGCCATGCTTTCAACAACACCATTTTCTCCTCAAAATTGATACAGGATGACTCAAAGTTAAAATTTAAAAATTTCTACAGCCTCCAACCATCTTAGATGCTCTGTGTGTGATGATGTGAGGATTCTTTGTTTTTGACTCCCCAGATGTCCCAAAGTTGTTTGCATTTGTCAAGACGTACAAATGGGCAACAACTCTGTCCTGTAGTAGACAAAGCCAGAGCACTCACCTGCTTACTAGAAAAGGCCACCTATACCCTTCTCACAGCTCAATTAAAGAGGTATCCTTTTGTGATTACAAGCTCAGTGGAACTCAAACAAAAGGGGTTTTCCCTCCCCAGTACATCACCATTCTAAACTTTAATTCTCTGTACTCCTCCATCAAACTTCCACCATTTTTTGTACGCTCTGTGATATCTTTTTTATCTCATCAGTGATGACACTCTACATCAGCGTCTTTTAGAATTGGCACACTTGATTTGTTACGATTCAGTCTTTCACTTTAAAGAGATAGTGTACTGTCAAGGAAGAGGGATTCCAATGGCTAGCTTAATGTCAGGAGACCTATGTGAGATGGTGATACGACAGTTATAGAATAAGGTCTCCCCAACATTCTTCTTTACAGGAGAATGTTGGGGAGACCTTATTCTATAACTCCTTTTGAAGTTTTATTCTTATTTTGAATACTACTATTTTTTTGTAAGTTATTGTCCAAAATTGAAAAGTTTAATAAACTATATCAGTTTCTTCTGAGATAGTATACAAACTAAAACTTATTCTTTCACTGTTTTCATTGTATAAATATAATAAAAGTTATCAGCAAAACATGGGTCAATTAATTAATTGAATTAGTAAAATTTTGGAATGGATTTCCAAAGAAATTATGATTTATGTTTGATAATGATCTTTTACTATTTTAGATGATTGATAATGTAATTTATAATTCTGAATCTTATTAGATATTTGAATTTATAATAATTGTATTTTTTGAATGTTTTCAGAATTATGAAGAGTTTCATTGCATAAATTTCAATGGCTTTGAGTATTATTAGACGAAACGCTTTAACATGTTTAAACATGTCAAAATCTATTAGGAAACAACCTTCTTCGGATGTTGCTGCATTCCGAGAAGTTTTAAAGAAATCCTCTCATATTGTAGCATTGACAGGAGCAGGAATCAGTGCAGAGAGTGGTGTTCCAACATTTCGAGGTGTTGGTGGATATTGGAGAAAATACAATGCCCAAGTAAGTGATTTTATTACTATTATTATATTATGTACTTTTATTTCTATTTTTTTTAAATGTGTTACCAATTTTTATTTAATTTAGAATTTAGCAACACCAACAGCATTTTTATCAAACCCATCTCTTGTTTGGGAATTCTACAGTTATAGACGGGATCTTGTGTTAAGTAAACAGCCAAATCCAGTAAGATAATTTTTTTTCTTTGATACCAAGAATGATTTTAAACAATAATAATTTGCTACAAAGTACTTGAGTGTCAATTCTTTTTATACAAACTTTTATTGTTTATTAATAACTATTAAAGAAAACAAAAGAAAGTAAGGAAGCAATACAGAAAGTTTTGCAATTTATAAATGCAAATAAGTAAGTAATAAAAATTTCTAAAAAATTAAAATATGTGGCACAATAAATCTGTCCTATTGTAAGGAATAATTCACAAATTTATTCATAGTTATTTATTTAAAATAATTTCCATTTTTTAATAATAGAATACAACACGAGCCTAAACATAAAGATACTTAATACATTGAAGTTTTAAATCACAGATCCAATGTGTCAACAAAATAATAATTCGTACTTAATACTTAATGTTCAATGCTGCTCAAATGCTGAATTATTTGCCAGTAGCATCATAATTGTCAGATTTTAACATAATTTTAAATTATATTGAATAGAATAAATTTATTTGCCATAATCTATAATTTTAATATGAATTTGTATAATTTAGTTTTCAGTATATACATTTTGCATATAAAAGTAAATAATGTACTTGTATTTTCAGTGGCTGCAATACTCTGACAATAAAACTATTAAGTGGATATTAATTCTATTTTAAGCTGTGAGTTGCACTTCAGGAATTTCCTAACATTTGTATTTTTCCCTTTTTCATCATTTTCATTTTTGAACTGAAATCCTCATTATTCTCCTGATTAGATGTTTTCCTTCAGATACTGTTGAAATTTGAGCAAAAAGCTTTTTCAGATATAACTGTTTTTAAGGAAATCCCCATCTTGCAACTCTTCATAGAAATTAAATTAGCATATTGGTAATTTATGTGAGAAGTAGTTGTACAGAGTATGATCACTTATTAATTTGGTTAGAATTTTCTGACCCAAATTAGCCAAAAGGCTAGAAATCCTGTGCTTCAAGGTTACACCTTACAAATCTAATGTTATTTTTCAAGTAATAGGTCATTGCTGATATTATAAAATGAAATTCTAAAATAGTAATAATCTAAACATTTGATTACTGAAGCAGATTCTTTTACTAATCTCCATGATTTCTATATCTAACTCTTCTCAATTTCTTTTCATAGGAGTCTGAAATATATATTTTTTAATCTGCTGAAGTCTATAATCCTGATTGACTTGGACTGCATGTGTAAAGCAATTGCTAAAGTTGTTCTTTATGTAGTGTAGGTTTGGTGCAAAATCAATTATTGTCTTGAAGTATACATAGCAAGACTCTGCAAATATGGTTATTTGGGGTTTATTTATTTATTTAGAGAAAGGAGTTAGTGGCTACACTCACTGGTATAGCCATAAGGAAAGAGATTGGAAGAGAGTGGAGAAGAGTGGGATAGCGGTGGAAAGTAGTTGATAGAGTGCAGTGGAGATGGGAAATAGAGATGAAAGTTAGAGATTGTAAATGGAAGAATCAAGTTCTATGATCACCATGCTGGATTCTATATATAGAAACAAAAAGGGTTAGAGTAGCTCATATAAGAGCTGATGATTACGAGGAATATTATAAGACCATACAAAACAAAGATTATGCATGGTTAGATTTTTGGGATTTAACCTCCATTTGAAAATATTAAATAAAACTGTAACTAAACAGTAAAATTAGATTTAATATTGTATGGTTTATCAATCTCGAGAATGAATTGGATATGAGTTACATTCAAAACAAATTAAAATTACATAAAATTCAGAGAAATAAAATTTAAAGTTTATACAATGGGTTTATTTTATTATAGATAACTGTTCCCAGACTATCACAATAAATAAAAATATTTACAGCAAATAAACTGAAATGATTTCAGGTAATAACTCAAACTTATCTGTGATGCAGAGATAAATATATATTAATTGTGTATCACATTTTAGTTCTTCAAAACCGCAATGCAGCATAATAATCAACACTTGGCATAAATGTGTATCACATTGTTTGTGTGCGATAAGTTGTACATTGTTAATTACTATAATAATTTTAAAATTATGAGAAACTTTCAGTATGTTTTCAATAATTTAAAAAATAAAAAATATAGTATAAACATAAATTATTTTTATTATGGCAGTTAAGAGGTTTATAATATAGTTTAAAGAGGTTTATAATATTTTGTTTGAAATATCAAAGTTGAAAAGCTATTTCCAATTTTAATGTTTTAGAAATAATTGAAAAATTCAAGGCATCAGAATGCTATGCCATTACTTTTTGTTTGGATACATTTATAATTTTATTAAAGAATGTTATAATACACATCAATATCAATTCAGCATTCATTTAACTTTAACATATTAATTATATTATTATATGAATTGTCTTTCACTTATGAAAAAATTTTAATCTGATGATGATGACAAATTATGTACACTGTTGAATTTTTGAGATTAGAACTTGTGGAAAAGATCATTAAACACAAATTATTGATGTAGTAAGTACTATTTATTTGAAATGGATTTAAAACAAAATTTCTTAAATGTCACAAATGTTAAAAAATAATACAGAATCTGTTCTTTTATTAACTTATATTTAATTATTCTATATTGATAATTTTCAAGTATTAGTTGATAATATGTTGGATTATTTTCAATTAACTGATGTTTTACTTTATTTCTGTATAGTTGTTTGTTGTATCTCTGGGCATTTTTTGAATTAATAATGCATTAATGAGCATAAAAAAAGTATGTATTAGAATATTTCTGTTAAGATTGTTTACAAAAGTTACAGCCTAAGGCATAGCACTGTTGCTTTAAGTTTTTCAGTTCAGAAACATTATTATTATTCTTTTACAGTATGATTTATTTTCAGCAAAAGAAAAGATGCTGCATTTTCTTTCTAAATTAATCACACACTGGAATTCATCTGAGAATCAGAAAGCTGGTTGTTTTTTGTAAGGAGCAATAATCTGAAATTGCAGAAGTTGAATTGTAATGTTTGTCTCAGAACTATTTAGAAATGTCCTTGGAAATGTTGCATACTTTGTGTTGTAATCTTTGTTTATAGTTGTAATGGTTTAATTTCTCATACATGTATTTAACCTATGCTCTGTAGATATTAACACGTGTTGCTACATTAATTATAGTTCTTTAACTTTATCATTATAAAATATAATAATGTTTAATAAAATAAACTGTCTCAAATCTGAATTTGGAAGTATATGAAGTTTAAGCATTTATTTCATTGGAAAATAATGTTTTTAAAAGTACAAAAAATATTAAATAAAATCCAAAGCTAGGGAGTACAAAAAATATTAAATAAAATCCAAAGCTGGCATTGGACTGTTTAAGAGTGGGTGTATGTCAGCATTTACATAAATATTTGCCAATTCCAACTCCTTAACTGACTACTTTAAAATTATTTTCACTTTCCTTGCTGTTATAGAATATAACATATAGGTTTGATTATTTGTCAAATTTTGATCTCCTCTGGAGTTTTGCATTTTTGACATTTTGACACTTTGTGAGCCCAAAAGTGTAAAAAAAAAGAAACCTATACAAAATTCTGTATGTGTGTGACTATTGGCTTCTATTTTGCTTTGTATCTTGGGAGTGGATAAACCTAAAATTTTGAAACTAGGCAGGTTATATATATAGGACATTGCAAATTTTATAATCCTTTTGCCTTTTGAATAAGGTAAAATTAATGGCTACAATCTTCTAATTATCATTATACCACCAGTTCATTACTAATTAGTAAATTATATTATATATATATATAAATACTAAGCAGTTGGAGTTGGCAAGTTGAAAATATTGACTAGAGTCGAAGATGGCAAAAAAAACTCAAACTCTCCAGCACTGATAAAATCTATTCTTAACAGATGTTGAGTTAACATTTAAAATTTAAGTTTCTTATTCATTGATAACCAGATTTGAGATTGTTTATTAATTTAGAAATAAAATAAAATCTTAAATTACATTGAAAAATCTAATTTAGTTAATGTAGTTAGAAAAATGTTATAATTTGTACTGAAGTAAAAGTCTGTTTTAGCAAGTGTTCTGAATGTTATTTTAAAATTTATAATTCTAAATACCATGAACATTTTTAAGAGAGATGATTCTGATGAAATATTGTGTGAATTATATTAATTAATTAATATTATAGAATATATAGTATTTAAGACATTTCTACGTTGCAGTTTCTGTTTATATATATTTTTGTATAACTTTTTAACATAGAAAATTGATAAAACAAGTCAAATGTGTTAGAAAAACAGCTTAGATTGGGACATGTATGTCATTCTTCACTGAAGTAATTAAAAAATAGAGAAAACCTTACATAGTTTTGCAAATTTATTATTATTTATTTATACTGCATAGTTTAAGAGCTAAATTATATTTTATATTTATTGAAACATTCCTAAAACAGCATTATTATTAAATCAAAATTAATTAAAAGAATTGTTGAGAAAAAATTTTAAAAAGTATGATTTTAATTTAATGCCACAATAATAATAAATTGAAAAACAAAATTGCTTGCATTGGAAACCAAAACAATTTGTTTTGAAATATTCATAATCTTCAGCAACATCTTTAGGAACATCTTTAGGAAACAAAACATTTCAAAATAAATGTTTTGTTTCCTAAAGCAAGCAGCTTTAATTTTAATCTGATTTTTGTTTGGGCTTTTAGATTTATTAAGAAATTTAATTATAATAATAAAGTTATTCAGAAATATGTAGATAATCATTTTGTACTGCAATTATCTGTTTGTGTAATGAATGATTAAATTGAATTATAAATTTTTTTTTTGTATGGAGAATTTGTGAATAATTTTAAAACTAGCAATGTTTTTGAATACTTGTTATCAAGGACTTTTATTACAGTACTAAATAACAATAATGATTTTGTGATTTTCTGTAATTTGTCTTTTAGTTAATGATTTGGATATACTATAATTGTAAGATTTTATGAATCGGTTTATTTTTAGAAAAAGTTTAATTGCCATGTTATGAATTTAAATAGGCACATAAGGCATTAGCCGAAGCTGAAAAGAAATTAGCTTCTGAAGGGAAAAAACTAGTTGTAATCACTCAGAACATAGATGAATTGCATAAGGCTGCAGGAACAAAAAATCTGATAGAATTACATGGTAAGTAGAATTTTACTTGTAATATAATTTTTCTGAAATAAAATTTCTAAGATGTACAAACATTTTAATCATTTTTATGCCAATAGTGTAGATTCAGACTTTGTAAGCTACTCCAGATACAGAAAATTTTTCATGATCTAAATACATTATCACACTAATTTGTTGAAGTGGGCAGCAAGCAAGTACATAAATAGATTCATCCATTTACCAGATTCCTCCAGACACACTTGTCTCTGCATACTTCTTTTGCTTCTGTCACTTTCATCTTTCTTCTAGAAGACTTTCTTACATTTCTCATGCTCATAATCTATCATTCATTCAAATGCTCATCCACTTGCTTCAACTATGATTTCCTTGGTTGTCCCTGTTTTGCTTCTCTTCCTCTTTTCTATAGTATACTTTTTTCAATAATTCCTCTTCATTCATTCCCTCAAAGTGGCCAAGTGACCATGAACTATACTTGCTGATCTTTTATATGACATTTTCTTTTTCACAACAAATTTTTCTATGATAATTCATTTCTCATCTCATCACATGCTCCCCTCAAATATCTCATTTCATGATCTACAATAATACATAATATAATAACTAGGCAAATAAACAAAGGAAGAATATATTGGAAATTTTAAATTCTTTCATTTATTAAAAATTAATCTATTAAAATTATAACAAATTACACATCACAAGTAATTTTTCACTTAATTTTTTTTATTACAAGGTTAATGTTTGAATATGATATCTAGCAATAAGTTCATTGTTCGTTAGGCATAAGTGCAGACAGTATTTTAAATGTTCATCGTTTTCTTAGCATATAAACATTTAAAATACTGCCTACACTTGTATCTCATTAAATTTATGTTCTCATGTACATAAATATACATATTCATGTATAAAACTATCCTATATTTTACACTTTGCAGTATTCATTGTAAATACATTAAATCCACATAATATGCTTGTATGCATGCACTCTGAACAATTATATTAATCACTATCAATAACCATTAATCTTTGCAAGCTATAATCATATGTGAATAAATCAGCGTATGTGCATTGCTTTGTCATTACAAGATACTAAGTATTCATTCAATTGTATGTACTGTACTTAGTGATTGACTGTTTGATCACCTCTAGTGTAGATTAAAATTATATCTTTAAAAATTTATAATTTTGTTAATTAATATAATAAAAACTACTACTCAATAATGATGATATTGGTATAATTAAATTTTTAAATAATTTTTTAATGTATTTTTACTATGCACAGTTTTATATAACTCTGAAACAATGGTGGACTGGCCCACTGGAAAATTCCATATTTTTTGGTGGGCCATTTGCTTGACAACCATTCCCATAATATAAGCCCATATATAAATACATATACATATATACCAAATATAGTTTCATATATATATATATATATATATATATTTTACCCAGATCAAAATTTGTAGCCAATCTAATACTGAGTGGAATAAGTTCTATTAAATATCTTAGAGTTAAAAATTAATAACTTCTGTAATGTGTATTTATTAGCTTTACTTGGATAAATCAAATAAAACGAATAAAATAAAGTCAGGTTCCTCAGTTATTAAAAAATTTTGTAAGGCATGTTGTTTCCTTTCTGTGCCTTCTATTAAATTAATGATTTCTGGATTCGCTATACTAATAATCTATATAAATAATCATTTATTTCTTACTTTCTCCAAGGGTTAAATAGTTAAGTGGGGATAAATTTTAAAACGAATCGGAAGCAAAATGTTCCATGTCTCTCTCAGATAACAATCTATATAATTGTAAAATTTCTTCATTAGATAAATTTTGTAAATTTACATCAGAAACTGTATTATCAATCAATTAAAAATCAATCAAATTTTAAAAACAAAAAAAAAAAAAAAAATGTGTAGTTTGATGGATTTACTCTTGCAATGTTAGAAGATTTATTAATCAGATTTCAAAAGATGCAAGCATTTTATGATTAAAAGAAAAAATTGTATTCTATTTGTTAAATATAGATATGAAAGTAAATTTAATAAGTATGAACATGTTCTTAGAAAAAGTAATGATAAATAATTTATTAATGCAAATGAAGATAATGATTATATTCTTATATTCTTGCTTATATTATTTGCATATTTCATTTTGGATTATTTTTAAGTAAATTTTAATTAAAAGATTATTTTATTTATATAAAACAAAATTTTAAAATAAGAAAGATTCATTCAGTTCAAAAAAAAAATTTTTCCCCAACATAAATTTTTATTTAGATTTTAATTTACATTAGCATGCAATTGCTGATCAAAAACTAATCTTGATTTTCTTTCAACAGGTACACTCTTTAAAATTCGATGCACCAAATGTGGTGATGTTACAGAAAACAAAGACAGCCCTATTTGTCCAGCTCTTGAAGGCAAAGGGTGAGAAATAATCTGGTCTTGTTCACTTTAATATTTTTGATTTGATTTGAATAGAATATATTTTGGTAAAATCAGAGTATACTGTTAATTGGAAATTAATGCTATGGTCATTAATTTACATTTAATATTCACTTAACTTATTCACTTTACATCAACTTTTATTACTAAAAAATTATAAAATTATCTTACAGCATAAAATACAAAATAATCCCATCTTAGTTTAGAATGTTCACTGTAATTTTGATATTTTAGGAAATATTCAGTATATTTGTATATATAAAAATTGTTTTAAAATGTTTGTTGTAAACTTCATATAAATTTTTACTTGTATGAGAACTCCGTGACATCTTATCACTGACCTGGTCTTTGTTGTGGTCCACACACACCTATATAAGGAGGAGGTGGTGTCATTCAGGATGATGAGAAAGTGTGATCTGTGTATGTGAATGGTGATGTTAGATACCTAGATAAGAACTCTGTTTACAATTAACACCTGTTTACTAGAATGCAAAAGACATTTTACAAAAGTTTGGGAGATTTCCTTTTTCTTAAAAACTAACTCAACAGGATACACAGTGAGTCTGATGACAGTGATGGACTGGGAATACAAGGATGTTCCCAGGGTTCACTTATTGGCAGATCAGTGTTCTGTACTAATACAATAATAGAAGGAATTAGTCTCACACGTATCACTCAATTAAAAGTTAGACTGTCTTGGTGGAAAAAAGCTTTCAGCCTTGAGTTTCAGGAATTTTAAAGGTTTCACATCTGCAATTGGATGTTCTAGTTGGTCATGATCTCCTTCTTCCCCTTTTTTCAATTGACCCCTAGTTGCCAGGGCTATAATATATATATTATGTCAAACCTTTGGGAGTTTCTTCCTTACCTTCCCATTTCATTACCGTTGCATTCCTGTCAATTCAGGTCCTTACAATTGTTCTTTGGGAGGATGCCCATGGAGATATAGAGGTGCCCCACCTGTCAATTCCAATCTCATATTCTTTGTGTAGTCGGTAACACATCCACTTGCTGAACCCTTCTGCCATTTTTATCTGGATGGAAAGAAAGGAATTATAGTACATGCTAGAGTGTTAGAGAAGTCTATCATTTTAAAGATTGTGAGATTAGAATTTATTTTTGAATTTATTAAGTATTCTATCTTGTGATACAGAGTGAAAACACAATTTTTCTTTTAATTTTCATCTCCCTTCTGACAGAGGAGAAGACCCGATTCCTTATTTCTTCCAGGTTTGATAGTTACTGTGACAAAGAGGATCTGATCCATCAACATGTGACTGATTGTATTAGATGATAGCATTAAGCAATCTTCATTCTGCATTATATTTGGAAGGTCTGCTGTAATGTTTTGTGGAAGAGAGTACCAACTTTTATTATTTTTCCTCTACCTTGAAAGGGAGTAAATCAATGTCTTTGACATTGATTTACTCCCTTTCAGTGTCCCACACTTGTTAAGATTTAATCATTATATGTCAGCAAAAGACAAGATTTGAATCTAAATCCCTTCTTTCTGCAGTCAGGACTTTCATAATTTTTCATAACAGTGAAATGTATATACAGTAGGGCATTGATTATCCGACCCCCGATCAACTGTCACACCAGTTAACCGACCGTTCTAGTTGGCAAATTCAAATGTCCACTAGTGATGTGGCGCTACAATATTTGGCTATGTCTTGGCTACTTTAATATTATATTTACGTGTTTTAGCTGGCAACACTAGCTCGACCATGAAAGGGAGCCAGGATTTAAATGAGGCTTAACTTTCTAATTTTTAACGATACAATAGCGATGATTATTATTTTAAAAAATTTTTGTTAGGCTTAACATCGATGAAAATTCAACGCGAAGTAGGTTAATAGCGATATACTAATATACTAATATACTAATTACATGGGATATACTAATATACTATACTAATAATGTATTTTTTCATATTTTTCGGTTATCCGTTTTTTCAGTTATCCGATCAACCCCAGTCCCCAATTTGAGTCGGATAATCGATGCTCTACTGTATGTAATACATTATGCTTTATTTCAGTATTTAAAATAGCTAAATTTATTTTTGATATATTACATTATTTTCAATTTCTTTTTCTGAATGTGATTTTCCACTTTATTAAATTTGTTGCACAGTTTTAGATGATATTTCATTTATAAATATTCTATTTTATCAGAGCTCCAGATCCAGACACTAAAGATGCCCGAATACCAGAAGAACTTCTTCCAAGGTTAGGTAACTTTTAATAGAAATATTCTGAGTTTATTTAATTAACATAAGTATTAAACTCAAATTTAATGGAAAAATGGTTAGATGTTCGAAATGTGATGGATTGATGCGACCACACGTTGTTTGGTTTGGCGAATCTCTGGAACCAGATGTTCTTGCTGCTGCTCAGAGAGAATTAGAAGAATGTGATTTATGTCTTGTGGTAATTATAATATACACACTTTAAATCAATTGAATTGTATTTTGTTTGATTTTTTAATACTGTAAAATTTGTAGATTGGAACATCCTCTGTTGTCTATCCTGCTGCAATGTTTGCTCCTACAGTAGCCAAAAGAGGAATACCTGTTGCTGAATTCAATCTAGAAACTACCCTAGAGACAAGTAACTTTGGGTAAGGTATTTTTAAACATAAAATAAATTATAATTTTTTCCTACTTTAATGTTAAAAATAATTTTTGCAGTTTTCATTTTGAAGGACCATGTGGTACAACTTTGCCTACTGCTTTAGTTTTTGATTAAATGTTTAGTTTAAGAACCATGTGTGATAAATAAGATGATCAGAGTAAAAATTTTCAGGTGTGTGTGTTTGTTTTATATCCTCTAAACAAAGTATAATTTGTGTATTTTTAAGCTGCATAGATTCATTTTTAAATAAAGGTAAAGATAAAAATTTAAAATTAGTTTGTCTTTTATTAAACTTTTTACAAAACTCATTTCTCTTGTTTCTGAAAAAATAAAATTTGTTTATTACGTTAATAATATATTAAAATTTTGGAATATCTATAAATTACCTGTTGCAGTATAAAATTATGTTGTTGTAGAAGATCTCTGGCAACATTATTGATATGCTTAAATCTCTCAGGTCCCAGATGTATACCACCATACCATCTTGATACTACAACTATCACATTTTTAACATCCAAAATCTATGAATATGAAAAATTAAATGAATGGAAATATTATATTCTGCATTAATAAAAGACTGGACAAGATATGCTTGCAACTATGTTAGAACAGAGATTTATCTTAGAAAATCTAACATGTTTTTCTTATTTAAATTATCAAAAACAAATGACAACTGAATTCTGAAAATTTTTTTACAATTTGATTACACTGGTTTTTGCTTTCAATTATCAGACTTTTCAATTTATTCATATTACTACATGCAATGTCTGTGAATGTCTTTCCAAAAATATAAATTTGCATTTAGTCATTTCTCTATGTTTAAATTCCAAATAAAACAAAAATTGAAAAAAATTTCTGAATAGTTTATCAACAAATTTTAGTATAAGTCTCAGTTATGCAAAAAGTTTTTACAGAAAACATCTACGCGAAAATTATTCTTGTAATTAAATTTTTTCACATTCAAATTGCCTATTGTATTTATCTTCTAGAAAATTTACTTATACAGTGGTACCTCAGTATACATCTGCTTTAGAATATGTCCAATTCAGAATATGTCCTGTTTGGACAAAACAAATTTTGCTCAGTATGCGACTTAATTCAATTATACGCTCCAGCTATGAACAAGTAGTACTATTGGTGTACTAGACCAGATTAGACGTTCGCGGTGCCACGGTTTATAACTTTGTTAAATTTCTTCTGATTTTAATTTGTAAGTAAAATTTTATTATTTTTATTAATCCTGTATTGCAAAAGGGCCAAATGAAAAGCAACAGAAAACTAAAAAAAAAAATGACTAGAATCACAATGGAACTGAAAAAAGAGATCGTTGAGAAATATGAAGGTGGCATGCGTGTTCAAGATTTAACTGTTGTATACTGTATTCCGAGAACGTCAATATCAACAATAGTGAAAAATAAAGACATTATTAAATCTGCTAACGTTGCGAAAGGGGTTAAAGCCAGCCATCTTTTTTACATGAGAACAGATTAATCATTTTTACATTACTTCTTATGGGAAAAGTTGATTTGGTATAAGTCCAAACATCAGGAATAGATTAAGGTTGTATACCGAGGTTCCACTATATATATAAGTAAAAGAAAATATAAAAACACTAGCAGGTGGGCCCGGCGTTGCTCGGGCAAAAGTAACGATAACTAAGATAAAGATTATTATGTTACAGTCAACCTTACCCATTTTCACAGAATGCAAGAATTGGGTCCCCTTGTTTCCAGACGAATTAGAGAATTTTTAGATGGGTCTAAAAATATGTTCGATTTACCACAAAAACGAAAAAAACTGCATCTGCGTCTTGCATGTCACTTTCTCTTAACAATTCCATTGTTGNCAGCTATAGATCATTATGAATACACGCATATTTTTGACAGATAAAAGGAATTGCAAGATTCAGAAATAAAGGAAAAACTTTAAAATTTTTGGATCAAATTTTCTAAAATAGTTATTTAGTAGGCCCATGTAATTTTTACTACTAACATTTTTAAATTATTAAATTTAAAACAGTTTTAATCTCAACTATTATCTTACACAGTTCTTTCTTAAGAATCAAATTCTTTGAAATATTTTAAATATTAAATATAATAGTTAACTTAATTCATATTAATTTTATTAAAAAAATGTAAAAAAACTTTTGATTTATGATAATTTTTATTTTGGTAACAACATTGAAATCCGAAGTTTATTTTTTTATTTTAAAATCCCAAACAAGATGTTTGGTTTTATAAGAGATACGCTAGAATGGAGATAGGTTAGCCACAGAGGAAATACCGAAGATTTTATGACTCATACACCCTTCTATTTACTGCTGATGGAAAGTCTTTGAGTTGATGTCAAACTTTATTGACATTAGGTTTCGTATTTGGTGACATCATCACCTATTTAGTTTCATATTAAGGACTAATACTAGACAAAACCGAAATGAGAAAACTTTGAAATGAGTTAGTAATATTTGTTCAGTTGTAGAAATATCTACATTTAGTATTTTCTCTTAATATTTATGATTTAAATGATTTATATGATTATTGAATAAGCCATATCAGTTCCCTTAGAATATATCTTACTATTTTAGAAAATATTCAAAGGCAATGGAATCCTTTTTGCACACATCTGACAGTACTTACTGTATAACTCTTCCTTTATGTGTTGGATAATGTAATGTGCTTCAATGCTAACATTGAGGAACTCAATCAATGCAGTTTTATATCTATTTTCATTGTGGAGCTGCTTGGACACCGACTGCAAATGTCATTTCCCAATTTCCTTGTTAAAAAGTCACAGTTAATATATATCATATTATATATTCGCTCAAATCTCTTTGCAAGTTTGACTTAGCAACTTCTTTATTTTGAATTGCAACATCTTTACTTCTTTGTTTTTATACACATATGAGTCTAGAAAAATTAACAATTACCTACACCATAATAAATAACTGGTGGAAATTGAAGTGTTACACCCAGATGGAATTGGTGGAAATTTATGAAACTTGGTAAACATGTACAGGGGCATACCCAGAAGAAATGATCACAAAATGAAATGAATTAAGCAAGGTTTTATTGCTGTTTGGTACATGTTTCAGTAAGTGGTATGCCCACCTTGAGCATGGATACACTCTTGGTTCCTTGCAGGCATTGAATCAATAAGTGCTTGAATGTCTTGGTGTATGTCTCTCTATGCCTGCACAACTTGTGCAGTCAGTTGTTGTACAGTGTGTGCTAGATTGCTATGAGATGTAATCTGTCTATCCATGGCATTCCAGACATGCTCTATAGGGGATAAATCTGGAGACTGGGCGGGCCAATCCACGATTGCGACACTTTGCAAGGCCTGTTTTGTGATGGCAGCAGCATGAGGACGGGCATTATCTTATTGGAAGATACGATTTTGGATGGTGTTCATGAAAGGTATGACTACTGGATGGATCACCCTGCCTACATACTGGCGGACGGTCATTGTGCCTTCAACAACCACTAACTCGCTCCTGCTCTTGTAACTGATTGCCTCCCAAACCATGACACCAGGAGTTGAACCTGAGTAACACTCTGAAATTACAGCAGGGTGGGTTCTTTCTCTAACACACTGGCGAACATGTTGCTGACTATCACATTGGCCTAAACAGAATCGGGATTCATCACTAAACACAACTGTACACCATTCATGTGTCCAATTACATCTAGCAGCACACTATGTTAGCTGTCTATGCTGTTGTTGGCGATGAAATCTGGTTAAGGGAACACATTGCATGGGGGTCCGAGATCTCAGTCCAGCATCAAGCAATCGGTTTACAATTGTCTGTGGGGTGACTCTGGCAGTAAGTACTGCTTGGATCTGTGCTGCCATTGCCCATCTGTCGGCAACTGCCATCTGCACAATATGGTGGTCTTCATGTGGTGTCGTCCTTCTGTGTGGACCTGTGCCAGGTCTGCGAGTACTGGACCCTTCCTGTATCCACCTTGTGACCACTCTTTGTACTGTCATTGCAGTATGGTCAGTCTTTTGGGCAATTTCATGATATGATGCTCCCATTTCTGAAATGCCAATTATCTGACCTCTTTCAAAGTCAGACATTTGGGTGTATGGAGTTCTCATTTGTCAATATGGCATAGCTGGTTATCAACAACCTGTGGACCAAAAAAGTCATGTTCCCTAACACAGTTTACATCTTATGCAAAATTGCTATAGTGTTTAGTTTATAACAAATATCTCCATAATTTCCATACCATTGTATGTACTTCATTTAATTTTTGATCATTCAGTACCCTTCAAACAAAGATTCTTTTGCCCCAATTTCATATGTCTTCGACTAAACTGAGTGGGTGTAACACTTTCAATTTCCACCAGTGTATATAAACACTACAAAGTCATTCATTCCTGAGAAATTCTAAACTATCAACATTCTAAAATGAAAAAAAATTTATCCTTTGATATTAGTGGACAATGCAATATCAACTTTGTTACTGCTTAGATAGGAAAAAATATCTATAAATGATTTCTGCAATTAACATTATTTTTAGCAGTAAGAAATAACTGTTCAATATAAGATAATGACTCTGCAAAGACAAAATCTTGTTCTAATTTGGCTCCCATATAAAATAAGTAATAATATATGTTTGTAGGAACTAAAATTTTGTATTTTCCACTCATGATATTAATAAAGAAACTAATAGAACAAATACTAAGCTTAAAGCAGTGGCATAATTTTTACAATCAGAATTTATTTAAAGTAGGAGCCTAAGTATTTGGGGTCTCCTGAAAAATATTTAACATTCTGCATGTAATGATGTTTTACTTTGAAATAAATTCAGCAAACTGAAATACAGGTTGATTCAAATAAATAATCACTTTATATTTACACAATATTAACTTTTCAAAACTTTAGATATTAGAATAGAGTCCAGATTGTACTGATTATGCCACTGGTGGACTGCAATTTGAAAAAATTATAGACAAATTCCCACTGTCATTCATCTATCCATCTTTCCTTGATCTCGAGAATGGAGTTAGTTAGATGAAAGATGAGACCAGATATGGAGACCTTAGGGGCAAGAGGCCTCAATTAACTAAACTTGACTTCTGGTTTGCATAATTTCAATTCAAAACTTTTCCCTGAAAATAGTTAGCAATGGAGTTGTGCCAGTCATCTATTAATGAAAAAATATGATGTACAGGGTCAAAACACTACAGTACTAATTTGAGGTAGAGAGAATATATTTTAAATGAAATAAATTTTTAAAAAATGATTAAAAGTTGCAGCCTGGCATTGTGACAATGTCTTGATAAATAACTGTTCGTTTTCAGTTAAACTGTCTAAATTTATTAATGCATAACCTGTGCAATGCAAGTAATGACAAGAATGCAGTCTAGATTTTGTTTCTTTAAGGAAAAATCTACAAAGATGTTTAACAGGTTAAATCAACATGACTTAATACTCTATAAAAGAAATATTAGCATAATTATTATATTATTTTCTTAACATTATATTATTAAGTTAGATTAGATTCAGAAGATTTAAAAAGTTAGATTAGATTAAAATTGTTCTTAGTGATAGCTGAATCAATCTGACTACAAAACCATAGTATATTACAATCTTTACAATTATCTGATGTATGGAATTATGTCGTACTATATATAATCAGAAAGATAAATTTCACTTCTGCAAATAAAATATACTTTTAAAAATAAAAATTTATGTATTTACAAAACTTTTTGAAATTAATTTGAATAAAATACTGAATAGAGAGAACCTTAAATTTAAGACATTTATTAAAATATACATGATGAATACTATAATTGAAAGATTTGACTATTCTAAGAAAATTGTACAAAAGAAAGGAATTGTGAAATCTATATATATATATATATAAATGGACATGCATGTCCCTATATTTCACTTTTCTGCCAAAACTACACATCGCACGTGAATGGTGTTTGTATGTGGTAGTAGCCCAAGTCTCCATTCGTGCATAGGGGTGGTTGCGTCTCGATAGCTATAAGGGTGCGGGAGATATGAGGCTAAAAGTGGTTGAAAGTGGCTTTCTATTTCGAATGTTTTGTTCGAATTTAATTCGAACAATATTCGAATTTGAATTCAACCATAAAATTCGAATATTGGTTCGATTATAGAATGATTGTAAACCTTCCAGAAACGTTGAAAATAGTTCATTTGAGTGGACGTGAACAGGAGACGTTCAGAAATAGAATCGGGACCAGGTGTCTAATTAGTCTGGAAACGGGGGACCTAATTCTTGCATTCTGTGAAAACGGGTAAGATTGGCTTTAATGTAATTATCTTAATCTTCACTATCGTTACTTTTTGCCCAGCGAAGCGGGTCCTTGCAGCTAGATTCTAGATTACTTAGAAAAACAGTATTTTATATATAAAAACAACTATATTACATACAAATGTACAAACAAATAAAAACACAGCAAAGCGGGTCCTTGCAGCTAGTTTCTGTAATAAAAAATCTAAATCCAGAATGATTTGAATATTGCAATGAAAGGGCTTTGGGAAAAATGAAAATGTACACTTATATAATTCTGGCAATTTCAAAGGCTAATTGTTGGATATCAACAAAAAGTCAATAAAATGATTTATGTAGTTCTGACTCTAGACCCTTACATGTTTGCATGTTTTCATTTATAAAATACATTCATCAAGAAGTATGAAAGTGAGAAAAACTATAATCTAAAGTTTTCAACACTAGATACTATATTTTGTGACAATTCAACTATTGTTAAAGTACAGAATTTATAACCTGTAATAGATGAAGTAAACGTGATCCTGCATGTGTTTCTCCATCATCCTCACAATCTTGTATCAAAGTATTTTCGGTATTTTGTATTCTGAAAATAAAATGATCAAAATTAACATTATGTAACAATTTTACATTTATTTTTTATGTTAACACTTACATAATGTTACTTAAATTATTCATATAAACTATAACAATACTTCTGAAATAATGATTTATATGCAGGAAATTATTTGCATTTAAAAGCAAATTTGAAAATTAACTTGGTTATATGCAGAAAATTACAATATTTCAATTTATGTAATAAGACATAGTAATGGATTATTAATTAATAAAGTAAAAAAAAAATCAAATGGCTTCTGTTCAATGCTATAAAAAATATCTAAAAAAAAAATGAATATTAAAATCTTGTGTAACATTAAATCAAGGCTTGTGTAATGTTACACAAGCCTTGACGGGTGCAGATATGGCCTGTCAAGGCTTGTGTAACATTAAACTATGGCGCAGATATGGCCCGTCAAGGCTTCATATCTGGCCCAAGGCCTTGATGATTTCTAAAAATCAATATTTCTAACATCTTGTGGGGATTAAAACTTGTGACTGTTTATGTAAGTTGTAAAGGCCAGGCAACAAAAGGGCCTTTGTTAGAGCTAAATTTTTTTTTTAATTTACAGTGTGTTTTGGTTTACCGAATAATAATGAATGCAGCCCACATTTTATACACTTTTATTTGACTGTTCGTGTTTGATTTATTTAAATCAGGAATCTGAATCTCAAACTCAGTTTGATCAAAACAAAAATCATTGACTCCATCATCAAAGAAAACTTTTCCATAATTTGAATTCATTATTATTATTGTTTGTTTTAAATTTGTGAATATTTATGTAATATTCACAAATTTAAAACAAACAATATTGCAAATAGTTTGTATAAATTTAACATCAATCTTATATTTTAATAGTATTTACATTAAATGCTAAAACAGATAATTTGTTACTTTAATAAAATTTTGCAATATATATCAATATTGCAAAATATTTTACATGCAAATATTATAATTTCTCTATATTTCTTGCTAAAATCTGATAAATAAAATTTTAAATGACTCTACTTTGTAAATTTTGGTAAAATGAACAAAATATATTTTGATGTTATGTAAAGGGTTTCTGTAAACTTTAAGAAAATATATTACAATGATGATTATATATTTTGAATCTAAAAACAAGATATTTATGAAAAACATATTAACTTTTAAACGAGATTTTCTAATAAAAAAAACAAACTGATATTTTATGAATATGTCTCGTTTATAATAATAATTTGAATAAAGAACTTTAAAAACATTTTTTTTAAATGAAATGTGTTCTTTTACATTACCTGTAAGCATAAATATTATGCGTGGCCGATGCAATTTTGCGATTTTCTTTTAATTTCAATAATGTAAATTTTGCCTTAAAAAATAAAAGATCTTTCAAACTAACAATATGGATTAATTTAAATAAATTTTCCAATAAGTATTAAATTTATATTAAAATTTTAAAATTTACCTCTTCTACATTAGAAACTCTTGCCAAGTGTGCTTGAAAAGTGCTTTTTCTTTCTGTTATTGGTTCCCCATGGTATATATTAGGCTCTTTAATACATATGGCTATTAAAAGAAATATAATTAATTTAATTTCATATTTAAAAAAGAGAGAAAGTATGATGAATACTTTGTTTATAGATGATGATGCTTTTTTTTTTTAAACTGAAGATATTAGTATTAACATCTATTTATTATAACAAACTCATACAGCTAGATCTGAAGTACAGATTCAGTATTTTAATAAATTTAGAGGCACTTCTGACTGTTGTGGTTGTTGGCATGAATTTTTTTGTTTTCTTCTTGAAAAATGTTAGAAATTTCTCAGTGGTGATAAAGTTTTCCTTTCTATCCCAAGACATATTGTCATGAAATGTAAGAAAATGAGTTGGAAGCAAGAGGAAAATGTCTAAGGCGAGTCAACAGAACAGTTGATCTTGTCTTATTAAACATCAGTAAAACATCACTTGTGCAAGCTCTTATTATATTAAAATTCTCTACATTGATTTCAACTGAAGTAAAAATTATTTAGTTGATATCTCAACAATATCCCTTCATAATAATATCTAATGAATGAGTATTACGATACTACAATGGCTATAGAATTCAGCTTTGACTTTACATCTTTATTGTGACATTAATTAGAAATAACAAAATTTAATTATTTTTTTAAAGCAAACAAACAAAGATTTAAGCAAATACCTGCTAGATAATATGAAGTGATCAAAGTTGAAAAGACATTAAATACATACTTGGCTTAGATGGTGAATGAAGTTGTAGTTTACTTTTATTTAACTGTTTTTTACTTTCAGTTTTTTCTTCATTGCTAATTATCATTTCCACTTCTTCAGAAATTTTATCTATCCATCGATGGATAATGTTTTCTCCAATATTTTCACTAAAAAATTAAATTGTTTGATACATTTGAAACTAAGGAAATGAGATTTTTTTAAAAAACTTATTTTTCCTACGTAAAAAGCTCAGAATTTTATTATAAAGTTTAATAACTGCATAGATTAAATTAACACAAAGTTTTCATTTATATGTTTTTAATATATTTTTAAGCATTGTTAATATTGCCATACTTGATTACATTATACAGTTCAGTAAAATAATCTAAATTTAGTTAAGAAATGAAATAATAGAATTTAAATTAGATTTATTGATATAAAATAAGAGCATGGTTTGCCTCAATTCAGTCCACCATGAACACTACTGATTCAGTAGCGAGATTCATCTGAGAAATGTGACCTGAACAACTCATAAAGATATTTAAATTTAAATATGAAATCACTTAACACATATTTGGCTGATTGAAATATTTAGATTACTATAAAAAAAACTGCATTATAATCAGAAGAATTACTATTTAAATTAAAAGTAATATGTACTATTAAAAGATATAGAGACAGAATTATTACATAAAAATATAAAACACCGGACTTTGACATCATCACTCATAAAGAATAGAGAGAAAACAATATTTAGAATAAAAAATAAATAAAAGAGGGGAATTGTTTAAAACTTAAAACTCAATAAGAAAAAAGGAAGCGATAAGATGTAATATGAGTGCAAGTGTCTTAATCATTGATGAATTGTGATCAGAGTCAAGAGGATGGTGTCAGATAAACCACTCTGGGCAGACCTTTCTTGTGACCTAACTTGGTCTCAAATTCTATCTCGAGACAGATAAGAGACCAATCGGGGAGCAAGGAAGGGAAAGCCCGATCAATCGGAAAAGAAATTCAGAACAAAAAATTATATAAGTCCGAGTGTCAAAGGACAAGGATTCGAACTGTTCATTAGTTCATTCATTTGTTCCATTAGACTCCTCCTGTGCTATATGCATGTTTGATCCTCCCATACGAACTAAGAGATCTTACTCTGTCACCAACGAAGAGTCCGACTTACTGCTATTCTTCGTATAAGTACCGACTCTGACCATTTAATCACCACTGCCCCGGGGCATGCTCTACCAACTACCGAGAAGATAGGAACCTCAAGGATCTGAACTTCGATATCTTCAGACAGTCCTGCAGATATAAGCATATATTGACAAAATAAATGGTTTTTTTTGTAAACACTTGTCTTTTTCTGCCTCTGCAAACCAACACTCACATATGTGAGAGCATTAGGCCATCTCGACGAAAGGGAATAAAATTGGCATGCTTACATATATTGATGAATATATTTTCTTTATGGCAGTATGAAATTTAGAAACTTAGCATTCCACTTTGAAAGAAATAAATTGCCAAACTTTCCTTTATTTAATATATACAAAAAGATGAATCTTAATTTAAATAATTATTCTTTTAACTAAAATACCATTATGTGTGTAATAATTTTTTTTTTGCATATGTTACTCTAATATCTAAACACTATTGAATGAACAACAGAGAATAATACAAGAATTTCAGAATATTTTTTCTTCTTATGCTCTTTAAATGATAATTATTTAATACACAAGATTAAACTTAGGAAGAATAAAGAAACTAATCACCAATCAAGTTTTAAAGCAATATGTAAATTATCTGTGATTATATAAATATACAAAATTTATTTCTCCAATAAATGAAATAAACAAGTAAATACTTGTATTATAATTTATCTCTCATTAATGTAAAATAATTGTTTATAATCTTCATTATAACATTTGCTTTATAAAAATATTGTTAATTATTTATTTTTACTGTGATTTTTATCTTAAATGTATAATGTTAGTTTTTTCATCAAAGATTATATTTAAACATTAACTATTTTGAATAATATCAAAATTAAAAGTGATTCATGATTTGAGAAACAATCCATGTAAAATTTAGAAATACCATTAGATCAGGGCTTCTTAAACTATGGGTTGCGACCCCATTTGGGGTCGCTTAGCGAAATCTTGGGGTTGCAAGATTTTAATGCAAAATTTGAAAATAATTTGTGAGAGTTTGAAAATGGCACGCTTTGTGTTGGTTTTGTGAGTTGCGCTTTGTGTCACTTCTGGTGCAGCGAGAGAACGATTCAGCAACACTGTAGTGTGAACTAGTGTAGTGTTGTCGCTTTTCAGTGTATTCAGTTCTCTGTTCCATGGTAACACAAGAGTGAACTGTGGTAGTACACCATTATTGTTTTTGCAAATTTGTATATATCTTTATTTTATATTTTTTGGGTTGCAAAAAAATCACAATTATAAATGGGGTTGTGAATAAAAAAAGTTTAAGAAGCCCTGCATTAGAATTTAATTAATAATTTAAAATTTTTAACATTAAAAACTTCAAATACTTACCAATAAATATTCTCCAATTTATTATACAAATCTATTTTATCTTCTCTTTTCATCCAAGGAGCACTAAATTAATTTTAATATACAACATTGTTTTTTAGGATTTTATGCAATAATAACATGTTTATAAATATTGATTAAAAAATAATTAATTTTTTATTTCAGGAAAAGCAAGTTTTTTATCTTCTGCCAACTTTTAAAAATTAATATATCACCAATTATATATTAAAATATTTGTAGAGAGATTAATTTTTTTTTATCTAACCATTCTGAAAGATGATACAATGAACATTTTATTTTTTAATTACCACAATTTTGGATTTAACTTTATAAGCTCAACTTTATGTTATATGTTTAGTTTATTTTTTTTAATTAACATACGTGCATCAATAATTTGTAAAAATTGATTTGTCACAATAAAATAAAATAAATTTCAACAGTAGAATCCACTTACTGTAATCTTGGATGTTGTTATAAGTTGTTTAATAGTATCAGAATTAGCTCGTCTCAAAAACTTCATTTATTGTAAAAGACTTGATTGTAACTACAATAAATAATATGTTTAGGCAACTAAGCATTTTTAAGCTCTTTTCATACTATTAATATGTGGTAGTTAACATGCTTTCATTGTCAGCTATCAGTCTTAACCAGTGCTCTAAATGTTTATCATTGTAATCATTATTTTCTTGCAATACAGTAGTTTAAATTACTGGCATTTCTTACTTCATTTATATGCTAGTTTTTGATAAAGATGACTGCTGTTTTCTTGCTTTCTGCAGTAATTAGTATTATCATATTTTACAGCATATAAAATACAACTTTTGTCCACAAAAAAAAAGTTCTGTGCCTTATATGTGAAATTGTAACCTCGTATATTCTATTGAATTTCCCAAATGGCTTCAGTATGGCACAGATAATCCTCTGCCTAGGTCAACTTTTCAATAAAAATGTATTGTTTAAACAAATTATTGTTGTTTGCTACAGCTAAGCAGCTTTTGCATGTATTTGTGTAGAATATTTTAATGATAAATTTTAATTGTAAATGACTTAAACTCTTCTTTTTCCCTGATTAAATAATGTGTATTCTAATTTTATTTTTTAAATCAGAATTTGGTAAAAAGAAAAAATTTGGGCACTGAGTGCCAATTTTTTCTTAAGAGATGGCTTAAATAGAATAAATACTTTTTCCCTTAATTATTCTGTGAAAAAACAAGGATGTGTCTTACATGCCATAAAATACAGTAATTAATAAGTCTTAAAGTTACACATTTTTTAATTGTTTTAAATATGTCTTTAATTTCAGAATCAATAAAACTAGAATTCTCATTGATTGCAGTCTTATTTATTTACACTGCCTAATGTTTTCAAGTGATAATCATCAATAGAGGGACTCCCAGAGTGATTGCAATAAGTGAATTCTACTATACATTGGTTTTATTATAGATTCATAATAAGCATAAGCATTTAAAGTAAATTATACTGATATGAAAGCAATTATATTTGCAATATAATGTTCCCAATATGATTTAATATTTTATTAATGTAATTTATAAATATAATTATGTGAATGTAATGCCAATAATTATCTAAGGTAATGAATTGAGGTTAAAATATGCCATTCATGAAATAGTCATTTTGTGCCATTATAAACATTAGCACTTTGGATTACGTTAAACAATTATAATTGAATGCAAACATTTCAGAATTATTCCAGAAATTTTTAATCACACTGACTAAAATTCCATAAATTAATTTTTCCTTAAAAGCTATAAAATGAATAATAGTTTTGTAGAAAATATTTCAAAATTTTAACCAAAGGAGTCATATAATTACTGGTTTTATTTGAATAATAGCCACTTTCAAATAGTAACTGTAGAGAAATTATGCAGTTTGAATAGTAGCCATGGCTATTATTTGAATAAAACATATTTTATGTTTAATGTTGGAATATAGGTAGGTGTTTTACAGTCATGAAGGAGACCATAAAGCATTGTCATAGTCTACAAACTTCATTTAAGATATATTCCAAAATGGAAATTGGTAAACAAAAAAGCTAAGACTAAAAGTAGTACACCTCTGATGTAAAGTTGAACTAAAATTAGATGAGAAGACTAAAAGGACCACTCCTTATTCATATAAGACAATAGAGAAAGTCAGTATCATTTTACTCACTTATAAATTGCCAAATACAGAATAATAGCAGAACTGGATCATATGTAAAAAGTCCTGTAAACAAAGAGAGAGACAGATGGGCAGAGAAAAATCAAAAATATCTGCCCGTTCCCATCCTGGGTATCTAGCTGCAGTCCAGTTGCCACACCTAAGTTGTCACATCTGAGAATCACCCAAAGAAGAAAAGAATTTTATTGGAACCTGCTGTGTCTTGGCAATGCCATTCAATCTTACTGTCCTCATCTCAGAAGATACTGTCAATTGGAAATTTTTCCTGACTTCCAAAGTTGTTTGTGGGGTAGTACCATAACAAAAATTTGACCATTACTCTTAATCTGAACATCAAGCATTATGAATGCCTAATATTCAGGTTATTGTCTCTTATGCTACAACATTTGTATTAGAATAGTGTTTTATTATAAACTCTAAATAAGCTCTTTTTAGTTTATAATTAAAGATTAATTGAAAAGTTGCTAAGAAATAGTTAATATTTTTGGACATTGTATTGTGTTTTATGGGCTAAAATGTTCAGAATTAACTAAATTATTTAATCATTAGAGTACAGACCACTGGGCTAATCTACTACCAGTCACAAACATAATTTGACCAGATAGTACCCACAATTGGTCTGGATGCAGTCCTATAACAAAATTGGGCACGATATATCAGTATCACGTTTACTCTGAACAATTTTAAAAAATACATATATACAGTAATTTCACTTACCTCAACTGATAATATGGAGGAGAAATTTTGGGATAATCTGGAGGAAATGTTACCTGGAAAAATTAGAAATTACATTTACAATGAAATTTAAAGTGAAAAATAAATGCAAATATTACCTGTAGAGTGACATCTTTATCTTGTTGCGGACTTCTTATAACAATACTAAATTGATTCTTCGAGTCTTCATCAATTATTAAGTCTTTTTCATATATGGCAGTTAATGCTTCTATTTCATATTCCTTTATTTGAAAAATAGACAAAAATCATTTAAAACATTCTTTGGTAATTTCCTATTTTACATTTGTAAAATTAAGCATTTAAAATTGTTTTATAACATGATATATAATATATATAATAATATAAACAATTGTTTTATAATTTTACAATTTTATAAAACATTTTGCTTTATTAGCTGTTTATGTAGGTATCAATTCTAAATTCATTGTATTTTACTGGAGTAAATAGGTTAAACTCCAGATACGTATACCGTCATGGCGGCTCATCTCTGATTCCAGCAAACAGTGGGGACGCACGTTCTAACCTAACCTAACCTATTCTAATAATTTGGTTGGTAATAATTATGGTAATTTATTAGAATAGGTTAGGTTAGGTTAGAACGTGCGTCCCCACTGTTTCTTTTCTTTTGTTTGCTGGAATAAGAGATGAGCCGCCATGACGGTATACGTATCTGGAATTTAACGCAATATCAACATAGCAATAAAGTTCGGCCATTTTAAAATTCTATTAAAACAAGAATGCTCCCAACTAAGGACAGATGATCTTAATTTGCCTGACGTCGAGGTATATCAGCTGTGAGTAATTTTATTCCAAGTTAAAATCAAATTATTTTGAGAGATTCGAACTCATTATTGAGTGACACGTGGGTAAAAATGATTAGTCTTCGAATACCTGCAATGTGCTATTATCGACATCAACATCATCTCCGCTGGCCATTATTTTAGTTAGAAATGATTAAATTATCCTAAATAATGTCAAAATAGAAATGTATTTCAATTTTAAAAATAAACCATACGCTCTTATCAAACGAACACGTTGTTTACATGTAAAGTTCTGTAATTCACTACTAGAGGCGCTTCAATCGGATGAATAAGGTTAGATACTTCCGCCATATTTCTTCCATTTCGGATTGAATGACGTTCTAATGGAAAGTTTTTCGATTTTCAAAGTCAAAAATCGAATTCTTATATTTATAAAGGATTACATTTTTTAAATAAAAACAAAATTTAAGGCTTGATTGTTTTAATATTTCTCAAAAAATTAAATATTACATTTTTAATAAGAATTATTACAGTAACATACATATAAATTTCAAGAAATATTTTACAGGAAGATTTGTGTATTAGGGGTATTGATGATATTAAATTTTAGTGGTTAAAAAAATGTATTCTGTAAAAGCATTAGGGTTGTCGGAACACCATAATCCATTTTTAATCTATTATTTTAATCAAAGTGCAAGAATAATTGCTTTTATGTGATAATAAAGTGTTTATATTTTGGCAACAGACTGTATAAACTACGCGGGAAGTATATTCTCGTAAATATTGCTTTTATAGAAAAATTATTGGGTTGTAATTTTAAAAAATATTAAACCTATAAATTCTCACTGTCATTTGTCCGAGGAGTTAAATGAAAGTGCCTTCCAGGAGGACTTTTATGAGGAACTGGCCTCCTGTTTAGTCGTTATTGACAGGGAGAAAACCCGGAAAACTCCAAGCAGCCAGCTTGTCCGATCGCGGCGCGAACCCACGACCGAACGTCCTAGTGTTTAGGGTCTGGTCAATTCAAGTGCGGGGACGGGACCGCTCGGCCACAGGTGGGCCTCTTAACTTAACTTTCCCACCTCGACTTCAACCTTTTATATCGATCGACGGCAGTCTTGATGACCAATCAGCGCTTCGTATCTCTGTTGGAGGTCGGCTGATGGTCTGATGGTCGACCAATCAACGACTACGCATTCAAAACCAATGGTCGCTTCTCCAGCCGACTTTTGCGGGATCGACCGTTACTAGTTTGAAATAACAGAAAAAAAGGCGGGAATCGTGCTTCCAGACTATTTTAATCCCGACACTGCGCTTTTTATTACGTGAGTAGCATCTTTTATTGGTTTTTAGTTAATTTGTAATTAGTAGGTACTTGAATTTATTGCACTAATGTAGTTTTTTTTTCTTTAAAGGTATTTATGACAGACTATAGTGATTATGTTTCTATTTAAAGAAAGTTTTTTCGTCAAACATAAAAAAGACGGAGATGCAACGTCGGTTTTGGTCGCTAAAGATAACAAAACAGCAGAGTGTAAATACTGCCCGACTATATTAAAAACCTTAGGAGGGTCAACCAAAGGACTACACACTCATCGTTCAACCGAACATGGCAAAAAAGTTATTACTGTAAGGCTGTTTTCATCAACTAGCCAAAGTGGCGATGGTGAAAAACCACCGCCGTTGAAGCGAAAACATAGCTCACTTGAGGACTTTTTTGTTAAAACTTAAACTTTAAACGACGTTTTAGCCCGAATGACAACCTTAGATGACTTTTCTTTTAGTGTTTTTGTAACCTCAAAAGATTTGAGAGCGTTGTTATTATCAAAAGGGTATTCAGATTTATCAAAAGCTACTTCAACAGTTCATAATCGTGTCGTCAATTATAGCTACAGAATTTGAAAGCATATAAAAACTGAATTAACTGCTTTAAAAATGAAGGCCAGCGCTTTAGTTCGAGTTTTGATGAATGGACATCGACTTCTAATACAAGATACACGAACGTAAATATTCATTCGGAGAAAAATTTTTGGAGTTTAGGCCTTATTCGTATCGATGTATCTTTGAAGGTGGAGACATGCGTTGATGTTTTAAAAGAGCACCTTTCTCAATTCGATATTTCACTGGACAGCGAAATTGTGGCAATCCCGTAACCGACGGTCCAAATGTCATGCTCAAAGTCGTGTCAATGCAGAGCACCAACTTTGTTTTGCTCATGGCATTCACTTAGCCGTTTGCGATTTACTTTATAAAAAAAAAAGTATAATCTGTATACCAGATGCTTCAGAAAATGAATCCACTGAGCTCCACGATGCAGACTCAGATGATGATGACGAAGATCTTGAATCTGGATTAGCCCTTGAAGAAAGAGAAAATTGCCCTGGATTTGATGAATGCTCGGAGGATGTAAGGATGTAATATAAAAAGTTCGCAAAGTTGTTCTTATTTTCAAAAGAGCGTCGTTGAAGAATGATACCATTCTTCAAAAATATGTGAAGATAGAGCGTGGCAAACAGCTAAGTTTACTGCTTGATTGCAAAACCAGATGGAACAGCTTTCTACAGTATGCTCGAGCGTTTTGCTTTTTTGAAAATTAGCGTCAAAAAGGCGCTTATAGATTTGAATAATCCAGTGCAATTGGAAGAGTCCGATTTCGAACTCTGAAATCATTAAAGTCTTGGCTTCAGTAAAATTAACTGTAGAAGCACTCTGTCGCACCGATGCGAATTTATGCACAGCTGACGCTGCTCTTAAGTTTCTTTTTAAGCAGTTAAATGACAGTAGTTCCGATTTAGCATACATTTACAAAAGCGCATGAAAGATCGCCGAAGAAATGAGCTGAGTAGCGTTTTATGCTACCTACAAAATCCTCATAATGACAATTTGGCTGACGATGATGAAATAAAGCGTACATTTTCAAGTCCGAACAAAGTCCTGATAAAAAAACCAGATTGTTTCACTAATTGAGAAATTAAATGGTAAAAAAATGATGAAGAGGAAAAACGAAATATGCAAGTCGAGCCTACAAATACAAAAAAAAGTGATTTGACGCTCAAAGAAAAAGCTTCAGCTGGAAATAGAAAACAGCATGAAAATGATGTCTCCTGAAGCATTAACCTGAGACCCACATATTAATTATATTACTAAACATACCGGCTTAATTTTTCAGGGCTTTACTCAGGTGGCTAGAAAGGATTGGGGCTATGTCCATCGTCTACGATTCTATATATATCCCCATAATTACCTATGCATGTGGCACATGGGGGTGAGCATCTATAATAATAAAGTGCATATAAAACGGATATTGCTCTCTTCCCAAAGAAAATGCTTATTAATCATAACTAAAGCGTATCGCACTGTATCTACTGTAAGTCTTTAAGTTATCGCAAGAAAACCCCCAATTGATTTAATAATCATACAAACTCAAAAGATACAACTGCTGAGACAGGGGAAGAATATTCAGACAGGCTATGTTATGCTTGATAACGAGAAGATTGAAAGGCCTGTCTCTTTTTTTAAAACACCTTTTTTAACATGCAGATATAACTTGATTTTTAGCAACATAAATTCTGCGGATATGGATATACATACTGTGAGACCCGAAAGGCCCCTGGGTCTAAATTAATATTTTATTCATAATGTTAAAATAATGTCATCAAATATTACTTTATTTTTGGTGAGAAAAATACTGTTTTAACGTGTGAAAAACCCAGATAACAGATGTTACTTCCTTTCACAGAAGAGAACATCCTCTGACTTTCCCTTATCTGGTTAAAAATCCCTCTCAGATGGGAAATGGTTACCCCTCATTCATTCCCCTTTCATCCGTTCTCATGAAAGAGTTACTGGCCGATGATTGGTCGAAATTCAGGAGATATAAGGGAAATCAGTCCGAATTCGGAGAGTTCTTCGACAGATCCGAAGCGTCAAACTCCACACAGTTTTCCTCCTGATGACCAACGCCCTTAAACGAGTCCCTTAAACATACTAAAACCAACCAATTATTAAAAAATTCTTTGACAAACAATTGTAAAGATAATTCCAAAGCACACTTTAGAGTGCTTTGGAATAATTAGTATGTTTATTATACACGTGTGTGGAAAAGTTTTTTAAACTTGATTCTTACAAATGTGTGCAAAGTTTACCACCCCTACCCATGGAAATATCATTGTAATTACCACCAACGGTTATTCACTGAAGAGGGACTGGAAAATATTAGACCAGCCCGAAATGCATTTGATGTAGTCTTTACAAAATAAATTTAATTTGCCAATAAGATTGCTGTGAGATTTGTCTACCAAGAATATTTTTGGGTTACAGAGACTAAAATCGTCATATTAACTAATATACAGCAAACCATTTATATATATTTTTTTATTGTTATTCTGTTAACTTTTTTATCCTGACACTAATTCGTATGAAAGAACTGTATATGATGAAATCCCTCTCAAACGTATCTTACTGTAATTTGATTATTCTGTTATTTTATGTATGTACTTTGAACTTTATCCATATAAACATTTCCCTGGTAATGCTTTCTGCGGAACCAGGATGTACAGTACATATTGTTTGTGCAATAAAACAATGAATGAATGAATGAATGATGTACAGCATCGTGCTCTTCGACGAAATTATCTTTAGAAAGTTTTAGCATTTTGCAAACATCCTTCATATCTCTGTTGAAAAAGTTGCACCAGAAAGATTTACACAACTGTAGTGTGTATATATCCAATGTACCAGAGCCCCTTTAGCCGCCACTCGAAAGCATCGAGCGACGTTTCCACTTCCCAGGACCAGGACCTAAGGGTTGGATTTCGGGAAGCAGTGTTGGTGTTATGTGACGGTGTCGTTTACTGTAACGAAGCGTGATATGTAAATGATTGGATGCGACGAACAAAATAATAATGGTTCAGTTGTAAATGTTACGGCGAGGGGTGTTTGTAAGGATGTGTTGTAATGAAACCGTCAAAATCCTCCAAATATTCGTGCTTCTTCGCACTTAATACAATTGGGTCGTGGATCAAAGACCTCGATGTCTTTCCATCTTTCCGCCACTCTCTGCAAACACCAGCGTTACGTCGTCGGTTCTTTTTCTTAGGTCGTCGTCTATCTCGTCCATCTATTTGTTTCCGGGTCTAAAATTCGTTTTGATTGATGTGGTAATACCTACCTGGCGCCGAGGACAGCTTAATGCACTCCAAAATGGGTCAGACGGAGCGTGTAATTTGTGGTATACCTGGCGCTAACTATTTATCAATCCCGTAATAAAAAGTATCGTAACTATATTAAGAATCCTCGCATTCGAGCTTTCGGGTTGCACGTCAGACGAAATCGTGCTCCCGAGCACTCGAAATTTTACGGCCCTACTACTACAAACTACAAATTTGTATTGTAAGGCCGAAATAAACGGTCTTACAATACAACGATCGTCTTGATTGTTTTTGTAATAATAACATCGAAACAATTATTAGATTTTCAAGTCAACTGTATGATTTATTAATTCTGTTTTTCATTTCAACATTATAGTACTTGTATTTAGTATTTCAATATTAGTTTGTCTTCATGAAATTTAAAATACCTGTCAGAAGCTTATATATCATAATGTTTGGTGTAGTAAGCCAGATAAATCGTGAAAAGAGAGACCTCCGATACAGTTCAGTCTAAGGAGGGTATTAATAATATGGATGAGTGAAAATAAAGCATAAGTGTGCTCAAAAGCATTCTTATATTATTTCAAATTTCAGAAAGAAACTTCTACCATATTTACATGATAATTCTATTTTTATTGTACCGGATCTTATTTTATTTACATTATTTTTACATATAAGAAATATGAATTTAAAATCTTAATAAATAAATATAAAATGTACTCCAAATCACATTGTGATATTTTAAAATACCACACCGAGAAAGTCGATTTTGAAAGTCATCGATGCACTTTTCATTTCATTGTCGGTATCTGAAAATTAGGTTCCAGTCTAAAAAGCAATGACATCTGATGATAGGGAAGCTGTTTTTCTGTAAGAAGCCGACTTCCAGGGGCAATCAGTTAATTGCGCGTCAGGGTCCATTCGTATTCGTTTGTTCGATAAGCCAGTAAAAACCGTAGACTTTTCTAAATGTATTTTTAAGAAATTATCCGACGTACTTAATAAATAAACAAGTTCGATATAATTACCTCTGTTATGAGATTCAATAGATTCCCTATGCTTTCTTTTTTTATTTCTAATAATGATATGGCGTTTGGCAGCCGTTGTTGTCAGTCCAAAAGTTATTTTAGCTAATTGCTTAATTGAAGCATGCGATAGAATAAGATACCTAAGTTACTTAGGTCCTTTTTTCTTGTTCTTTTTTATTTTCTTGAATGAATTTTATATAATAAAGGACTCCTGTAAAACACGCAATATTCTCATGATTCTTGTTAATTTGTTAACAGTCGTCGCTAAATAGCGCTAATTTCTAACATGGTGGCTACCGTGTGAAATGTATTAAACTTTGTCTATAAAGTTTATTACTACAGCAATACATATTCTTTTATCATGGAGACCTCGTAAACTAAGTTTTTGAGGAATAGTGAAAGAAAGCCTGAAAATCTTACGGAAGCCTTAAGATGAAGGAGAGCTAAGATATGAAGAATACGAATCATTGGAACAACTGTCACCATAATGAATTAAGCCAGTATCTTTCATGTTCATAATCAAGTGAAACAAAAGTGTATACTAGAAATAGGCAATTTCGGTACTTATAAATAAAGTTTTATAGTTTAAGGACAAGTGGGACTGACTGAAAGTATTTTATTGAATAAATAAAAGTTTTTTTAAATATAATTAAAGTACCTTTTAAATACACTTATCTTATACGGTTAAGATAACTTATCTAATATTGTTAAGAAAGAAATGAACCTGTATGAGTCTTTAAATTATACTCGGAGTTATAACCTAGAGCGAGCTTATAAATATTTACTAACGATTCCTTCAACTTCCATCGAACCTGAACGCACTTTTTCAGCAACTGCATATTTGTGCAACAAATTGAGAACAGACCTGGTGATGAGACACTGGATACGTTGTTATTTCTCAGATAATATTTACGCAATTCAAATTAGAATGTTCCTATTAGATTAGTTATAAAATATTTAAGAAAACTGTGACTGATTAATATTATTTTTAAATACTTTTTGCTAAGAAACTTACTTTACTACCTACTTACTAGGTTATTACATGAAAGTCGTCTATTTAGTCGATGTTAAGAGAGATTTTTGTTAATTTTCAACGTTTATTTGCATAGTTTGTTACATAAAGAGTTTTTCAATTTATGTAAGTTTAAAGAGATCTCATTGATGCTTGAAAAAGAATAACTTTAACATGAAGACTGAGCGAATTTAAGTCTGACTCTAAGTCTGATTAGTAGAGTAATTAGATTAGCTAGGTCTATACCGTAAAATACGTTGATTTTTGTTAATTAAATTAAAGAATTATACGATGTTTTTTTTTATTTTGCGAGTGATACATGTAAGTAATAAAGCAGGCGATGAACATAAAATGAAATATAATTAATTTAGGTGTTCAATACGATGATCATCGGCATCTAGACAAAGTTCTGCTCGATGTTTGATGTCATCTTGCACATGTTTGTGGCTGGATGCTGGCACAGGCTAAAATAATTCTATTTCGGTGATTGGCTATGCCATAGACTTCCTGTTTTACAAGACCCAAGAAAAACGAAAAGTGTTTTTGGATTTGCTTTTTCGTTTTATTTTCACGTTTGTGTGCCGATCAAAAACATATTCTAATTTTGTATGACATAAAACGTTCTAATTGGCACTTTTTATCTGGGATGCCCGGTTTTAAAGATGTTTTTAAATGCTTTTCGAGATTAATTTTATGGTCACACATGGATTCAGCACGCATCACGACCTGTTTATTTTAGCCTGCCATCAACATTACAGACACTACATTACGTGTATCCAGACTTTTGGAACATCCTGTATAATATTGATTTATTGTCGATCAATAAATCTGAATCTCAAAGGCTTATCCGGAACATTGACCAATCTATAATAGCAATCGATATCTTCGTAATTGTATTCAATGTTGAAATTTTGTATTATCTGCAAAGCAAAGAATAAAAAATGTATTATATATAAAAGTAATTTTCAAAAAATTGTAAATAAACCTTAAATACGAGAGTGTAATTAGATATTAACTTTAGTAATTAGAAGAAGCATCTCTTGTTCGGCAATTCTTCGTCCAATGCACATTCTTTTTCCAAATCCAAAGGGCAAAAACAGAAAAGGGTGATGTTGTTTATCTTCTTCCAACCATCTCTCGGGAATAAACTTATCAGCTTGATAAAAGTATTGCTCTTGACGACAAGCTACTAAATTCTGAAACATAAAAACTACCTAAAACATAGAAAAATTTTACATAATTATATAAATTAACCTTAAATACGAGAGTGTAATTAGATATTAACTTTAGTAATTAGAAGAAGCATCTCTTGTTCGGCAATTCTTCGTCCAATGCACATTCTTTTTCCAAATCCAAAGGGCAAAAACAGAAAAGGGTGATGTTGTTTATCTTCTTCCAACCATCTCTCGGGAATAAACTTATCAGCTTGATAAAAGTATTGCTCTTGACGACAAGCTACTAAATTCTGAAACATAAAAACTACCTAAAACATAGAAAAATTTTACATAATTATATAAATTGCATTGTCCCAAGGATTATTTACAATTTAAAAAATATAATATAATATTGTTTGTAAGGTCATTATATATATTTTTTTAAATAGGAAAGTTTTCTTATCTCACATTTATATTAATTATAATATTTTAAAATTATCAATTTAAACATACTCCTGCTGGAATTCTATATCCGGAGAGTACGATATCGTGATCTAAACTCCTAACAGTGCCTTGAACTATTGGGAAGAGCCTATAAAAATATAAATATTGGATTGTAATTGTAATGAAATTATGTTTAAACGTTAAAGTTTACTACAATATCGAGAGAAACTATTGAAGCAGATTTAATTACCTCATGCTTTCTTTAATACAAGCCTTGACATAATGAAGCTCGTTCATTACTTTTTGTGTTAAGGGTTGTCCTCTTGAGAGAAGATTTCTAATTTCAGAATAAGCTTTTTCTTGAGCTTGGGAATTTTTTGCGAGAAAATATAGAGCAAATGATGTCGTGTGTGACGTCTGTAGAATTAATGTAAACTGAATTTAGGACTTTAAAATTTTAGTTTTGATAATAATATATCAAGATGTTATTAAATTAATTTAAACAGAAAACGAATGCCTCAAAAGAAAGCAGAACTAAATTTTTATTGTCGAAAATATTTCAATGATCCGATTTTCTTGAAAATTTCTAAAAAAAATTCGAGATAGATAGGTTTCGAGATATAGAGGTTCCTACACAATAAACAGAAAATAGGTTTGATTGGAGGTACGGCATTTTATTAATACAATAGAAGTATACCTGTATTAGGTATAAATAAAATATTTTTCACATACTTTAACGGAAATAGTTTGTCAAACGCTTTCTAATGCCTGATTTTCTTCAACTAATAAAACACAAGTCAAACTAGTGGCCGAGTGGATTACTGGTAGTTGGTCTGGATTCGTGCCTCTCCAATGGAGTTTCTGGGTTTTTTCATGTTTGTAATATCTAAACAGGGGCTAGTTTCACGTAGAAAGTCCTTCCAGGTTGCAATCCTTGGCAGATCACCGATATATCTCGTTTCCGTAAATAAATAAACTAACCAAACTCGTAGCCAGTCATTGAAAAACAGCGTTATAGTGGATTTCCTACATTGACAGGAATCATAATTAATAGCAACCGTATACTTTATTGCAAAAGATATTTTTCAACTACAATTTATGCTATCAAACAGGTCGCACAGATTTGACACTTCAGTCCATAATTTAAGATGTAGAGGTTTTGAGAGAAAATTATTTGAGATAAATATGAAAATTATATTAAATTTCGTCTGAAAATGCAGAGAGTGAAAATAAATTTTGAGATAAACGTATTTGAGATTGAAAGGTATATAATTTATACGCATGCAAAATTTAAATTTTCTTACCGTATCAACTCCTGCTAGTAACATGTCTAGTAACATAGTAATTGCATCTCTATGATCGATATTTTTGGTCGTTAATAAGTTTTCAATAAAAGTCATTTCTCTGTCTTCGTCTTTACTATTTTCGATTCTCTCCATTGCTTCTTTTACATATTTAAATGCGATTCTATAAAAACGAGATAAAAGTAGAAAAACAAAAATTGTTTTTTTCTTCAGTTTATGACTATTTCGCTATAGTCATAAACAATTTTTATAATAAACAGTCCAAGAGTTAAAGAAAGGAATAACTGATTTACTCAGCAAAATCGTCCTGAGCTTCAACAAATCTCTTCCAAGCTTTTGTTGGAATGTACTTCCAAAGTCGCATCGGTGTAAATAACAGATCATTCATCCCTTGGAATGTTCCGTGTGCGGCTCTGATCATTCTCATCGCTTCCGAATCCTCTTTTAAATCATCTTCCAAACATCCTAATCTTTTGTCAAGAGCCATCGAGGCTAAAGCTAAATTCGAAATAAATAAATCATTCAATGTGGAGTAATAACTTTTTCATTTTTGACTTTCCGTCCTGCAAGCGTGGAAAGAGCCTTCAAATAAGGTCTTTATAAATACTGTAATATCCCTTGTGGGTTCGGTTGGACCCACAATGAAGGATATCGATTAGGAAAAAATTTTTTGGCTTGTTTACTGGATTTACTCCCTTATCCCAGGGTGTCCTTTAACCAATTCTTCCATTCGGACATTCGCAGTAATAGCTACGAAGTTAAAAAATAACATTAAAAAGATACACTTACATTCCAGGGACCACTTGTATAACTCATTTAAGAATTCGGGAATTTCCATTAAATCGTTTCTTAATCTTTTCATTCTGTTTATCATATCATCAGCTACTCGATTCATAGGATTAAGATAATTGTGAATCGATTTCGGTCTGAGTAGAGATTGCTGAACATTTACACGAAATTCTCCCCACTCTTTACCTTCTCTGAAAATTAAAATTATTTAATTCGTTAATAATTATTTAATATAATTTTGTTACTTATTATAGATCTTTAAAATGCTATAAAAATAGTAATATAGTTACTGGATTGTTTTTATTTTAAAAAATACATTGCGTAGACTTGCGAATGAATATTTTACTTCAGATAAATAGAAAGTTATAGTTTTTATAGTTAGANAAACCCAAAAATAAAATGACTTTACATACGTAATGCTTAGCACGCGTCATCATTCCGTAAGCACGTTTTTTCATTGTTGCATAAACAATAAATATCAAGAATACTTTTTTGGTGATTGTCGAAGAGATTTGTTGGATTGAAAATATATCTAATGGGAATTTTGTTTAAAAAGATGAATCTTATGAGTAAGTTAAATTCTTTCTATTGTATAATTATATTAACTCTTTAATAACGTGTTCGCAATGAATATAAAGACATGCAATTAATAGTAATTTTTATGGGACGTTTAAAAATCCCAATAAAAATCTTATACGGTGGAACGATATTTAACTTTGCATTCACTTTCTGCTGGAGACAATTAGAGCATTAAACTTATTTTCCGCAAATGAATAACAATTTATTATTTTATTTCTGCATCATTTCTAATATTTAAATATTCGGTTCAATTAAGATGAATAAAAAGAAGCAGACAGAAATTACAACAATATTTTTACAATAAGATAAGATATTCAAAAATAAGATTGAAACCTATTGTTAATTTAAAATAATCTTATAAAAAGTTGTCACAACTGTAATCTAAAGGCTAATGTACTAGTGTTTAATGTATACTTACGACTTGATTTTGAGTACATTTCAAGTTTTATTCATTGAGCGATGCTATATTTTATATTTACAAAATGTTTTTATCCATTTCATTATTTATCGATATCGCTGAACACAGATACAGCAAATAAATCGATATTCGCCGCTAGATAAATGCAAACAATGCTCAATTTATAAGAAAAAAAAAAAACTTGTAACGAAAGAGTAACAAACGTGGCAATTATTTTTAATTTGTTAAAATTAGTCATTGATTTCCCTTTATTTTTTATCGTTGTTTCTGAAGTATAAAGATATAAACGAACATTTGATTATTTACATTTTTGACGTTAATTTATAAACTGAATACTGTATTTAAAACACATTATACTCAGACGTTTTATTAAATTGTATCAATGAAGATAAAGTAAGCTTCTGACTATACGTTAATTTCCATTTCCCATTTCCTCTGAAAATACATTTAATATATGAATGTAGAAAACTTGATATAAAAGCACTGTAAGTTCTTTAAATTAGAAGATAAATTTATCTTTCATTAATATCTGTATCGAGAGTTTCTTTAAAAGTTGTAGATCACTAGGAAGCAACGAAAAAAAGGCGTGAAATGGAAGAGCGAAGGAAAGAAGTGAGCCGTCCTCAATCACAAAGAGAAAGGATTAACGTCGCAATCTCACAATACGTAAGTCATACATATCAAGTTGTTTTGTCAAACAAATTAATTATTGGTCTTTTACGATGTTCTAAGTAAAGTGTAGTTTTGAATGAAGGGAAAAAAAAGCAATATGCCGGTAAGAGTACTTTAATGTTGGGATATGAATTGGTCAAAGATGCACAAAGATTCCAAATACGAGGGGCGATGAAAAAAATCGAATGTTATAAAATTGTATATATTGTTGAGCATTTCCTCTAGAAATACAGCACTAGTATTAATAAATTTTATTGTTTCGAGNAGCTACTAAATTTTGAAACATAAAAACTACCTAAAACGAAGGAACGCTGTATTAAATTTATATTGAGATATATATTACAGAATAATCAATTTAAACATACTCCTGCTGGAATTCTATATCCGGAGAGTACGATATCGTGATCTAAACTCCTAACAGTGCCTTGAACTATTGGGAAGAGCCTATAAAAATATAAATATTGGATTGTAATTGTAATGAAATTATGTTTAAACGTTAAAGTTTACTACAATATCGAGAGAAACTATTGAAGCAGATTTAATTACCTCATGCTTTCTTTAATACAAGCCTTGACATAATGAAGCTCGTTCATTACTTTTTGTGTTAAGGGTTGTCCTCTTGAGAGAAGATTTCTAATTTCAGAATAAGCTTTTTCTTGAGCTTGGGAATTTTTTGCGAGAAAATATAGAGCAAATGATGTCGTGTGTGACGTCTGTAGAATTAATGTAAACTGAATTTAGGACTTTAAAATTTTAGTTTTGATAATAATATATCAAGATGTTATTAAATTAATTTAAACAGAAAACGAATGCCTCAAAAGAAAGCAGAACTAAATTTTTATTGTCGAAAATATTTCAATGATCCGATTTTCTTGAAAATTTCTAAAAAAAATTCGAGATAGATAGGTTTCGAGATATAGAGGTTCCTACACAATAAACAGAAAATAGGTTTGATTGGAGGTACGGCATTTTATTAATACAATAGAAGTATACCTGTATTAGGTATAAATAAAATATTTTTCACATACTTTAACGGAAATAGTTTGTCAAACGCTTTCTAATGCCTGATTTTCTTCAACTAATAAAACACAAGTCAAACTAGTGGCCGAGTGGATTACTGGTAGTTGGTCTGGATTCGTGCCTCTCCAATGGAGTTTCTGGGTTTTTTCATGTTTGTAATATCTAAACAGGGGCTAGTTTCACGTAGAAAGTCCTTCCAGGTTGCAATCCTTGGCAGATCACCGATATATCTCGTTTCCGTAAATAAATAAACTAACCAAACTCGTAGCCAGTCATTGAAAAACAGCGTTATAGTGGATTTCCTACATTGACAGGAATCATAATTAATAGCAACCGTATACTTTATTGCAAAAGATATTTTTCAACTACAATTTATGCTATCAAACAGGTCGCACAGATTTGACACTTCAGTCCATAATTTAAGATGTAGAGGTTTTGAGAGAAAATTATTTGAGATAAATATGAAAATTATATTAAATTTCGTCTGAAAATGCAGAGAGTGAAAATAAATTTTGAGATAAACGTATTTGAGATTGAAAGGTATATAATTTATACGCATGCAAAATTTAAATTTTCTTACCGTATCAACTCCTGCTAGTAACATGTCTAGTAACATAGTAATTGCATCTCTATGATCGATATTTTTGGTCGTTAATAAGTTTTCAATAAAAGTCATTTCTCTGTCTTCGTCTTTACTATTTTCGATTCTCTCCATTGCTTCTTTTACATATTTAAATGCGATTCTATAAAAACGAGATAAAAGTAGAAAAACAAAAATTGTTTTTTTCTTCAGTTTATGACTATTTCGCTATAGTCATAAACAATTTTTATAATAAACAGTCCAAGAGTTAAAGAAAGGAATAACTGATTTACTCAGCAAAATCGTCCTGAGCTTCAACAAATCTCTTCCAAGCTTTTGTTGGAATGTACTTCCAAAGTCGCATCGGTGTAAATAACAGATCATTCATCCCTTGGAATGTTCCGTGTGCGGCTCTGATCATTCTCATCGCTTCCGAATCCTCTTTTAAATCATCTTCCAAACATCCTAATCTTTTGTCAAGAGCCATCGAGGCTAAAGCTAAATTCGAAATAAATAAATCATTCAATGTGGAGTAATAACTTTTTCATTTTTGACTTTCCGTCCTGCAAGCGTGGAAAGAGCCTTCAAATAAGGTCTTTATAAATACTGTAATATCCCTTGTGGGTTCGGTTGGACCCACAATGAAGGATATCGATTAGGAAAAAATTTTTTGGCTTGTTTACTGGATTTACTCCCTTATCCCAGGGTGTCCTTTAACCAATTCTTCCATTCGGACATTCGCAGTAATAGCTACGAAGTTAAAAAATAACATTAAAAAGATACACTTACATTCCAGGGACCACTTGTATAACTCATTTAAGAATTCGGGAATTTCCATTAAATCGTTTCTTAATCTTTTCATTCTGTTTATCATATCATCAGCTACTCGATTCATAGGATTAAGATAATTGTGAATCGATTTCGGTCTGAGTAGAGATTGCTGAACATTTACACGAAATTCTCCCCACTCTTTACCTTCTCTGAAAATTAAAATTATTTAATTCGTTAATAATTATTTAATATAATTTTGTTACTTATTATAGATCTTTAAAATGCTATAAAAATAGTAATATAGTTACTGGATTGTTTTTATTTTAAAAAATACATTGCGTAGACTTGCGAATGAATATTTTACTTCAGATAAATAGAAAGTTATAGTTTTTATAGTTAGAGATTTGGTAATTTTTAATGTTTTTTTTATTAATAGTAAAAAATCATAATATTTGCTTGTGTTTCAATTCTCTGTTTTTCTATTACATTTTTTATTAACAAGTCTACGAAGTTAATTTATCAGAATTTTGATTTTTATCTTCGTATTCTTCAGAATATTTTTAATTAATTTGTATGATTATGCATTTATAATTCCAATTTTTAAACGAATAATTAGATTTATAGTTTTTTCTAAAAATCCTTTTGTGAATTAGTTTTTTTTCACTTTTAAAAATTATAAGTACATGTTTGAGAATTAAACACAAGCTACACAAAGTGAGGAAGTAAATAAGACATTGGCCTGTACAAGCTGTTATCTGGTTTAGCACTGATTCATAAAAACGGTATCCTGAGAGATTTCTTGCCAAACAGTGTTCAGTTAGTGAGCTAAGTCGTGAAATTTCCAGATAGTCGTACGTCACGCCCCATCAGACTCCAAATTTATTGAATTGGCGAGACATCTGATGATCTGGCTAGCCAGGAAAGGATTTCGCAACCAAGAAAACGTTCATGTGAGATGCCGGGCATTGTCTTCTTGGAAAGTATGCCCTGGGTGTTGCGAAAGGAACGTCATCACAACAGGTCTCAGAATGTCATCAACTTATTGCTATGCTGTAAGAGTGCCGTGGACTACCACAAATGAGATCCAGCTATTAAAATAAATGTTACCTCAAATCATAATTCCCTGTTGTCGAACCGTTTGGCGTGCCACAGTAAAAGCGGGATTTCGGCGATGGCCACGTCTGCACTGGTCTGCGCTGGTCATCGGGACTCAGTTCAAAACGGGACTCGTCACTGTAGACGATTCGTCTCCAATCAGAATATTTCCATGTAATCGAGCCGAACACCACTGCAACCATTCTTAACAATACCTACGGATAAGTGGCAGCCAACGTAATGAGCGTCGTAAGCGTAGATTCCGCTCTTGTAGTCGTCTAGCAAAGATCCTGGTGGTCACTTCGGCATTGGTCACACGTTAAACTGTTAATAGTGACGACTCTAGTGCCATTACAGTTGCTCGAACAATCGCTGTCTTCCCGTTCTGTCGTCACTCTAGGCCGTCCACTGTTTACTTTTGCCATTCAGGACCCATTCAAGCCAGAATCGTCTAATTGCCGCATCACTCCCTAAATGTTGATTTGCCCATCCACCCTCCTTTATTCCATGACACGTCCTCGTTATATGTTTATAGTGGGCACGAATTCTACGGTGAGGCATTGTTTGCAGTCAACAACGATTAACACATTCAAACTCCGATGGAAGTTCGGTCCTTCAATGAAAGAATCACTCTTTATATACACCATCACGATGCAGATTTCCAATGTGCTATTGCTCAGACAATTCATTCACTGGGTGTTAACTTTTTATTATTTGCATATTCGGTTAAAAGGTAGGCCTATTTGAATAGACATTTTATTACAATTGCATCATTTTGGAGGTCCATCGAATTTTTCTCAAGAAGTCTATTTCACTTTAAGAATTTTTTATCGTTACTTTGTTAAACAAATTTTAAAAATTACATAAATTTAACAAGTAAATAAAACTTTTAACATGATATTTAAATAGTTTGTTTTGTTTCCTCATAAATATCGCAAAAATCGAATACATGATAAAAGCTGAATTGTTTTTAAACTTGGTTGTTAAATGGCTTCAAACATATGGCCAACCATTCTCAAAACATCTGGTACAGTACGTTCAGACTCGCTCTCATCCCTTTTTTATTAGAGAACACGTCATATTCAGAAAAACTGATAATTAAAACCTTATTAACAATTAAATTTTTAAAAACTAAAGATATAGACAACCATTCTGCTTATGTGTGTGAACATAGCGGAATTTATGGAAATGAGAGAGCTGATTTCTTTGCAAAGGACTCCGTATATCTTTAAATGTATTTATCCCGAAATGCCATTGGAAAACTGCTTCTAAGGAAAGGATGTTGGACTTGTGGAACAATGAATTTGTTAACTCAAGCAAAAAGAAAGAGAACATTTTCGCCGGAAATTTGAAAGCTTGTGGAAAGCGTGGCCGATTCTCCATAGCTCTTTTGCGAATTCCAGGCTATCCTTTCTGGCTTTTGCGGACTTCGTTAATTCTTATTCATTTCCATAATGTTCTTATATGTTATTAATTGATGTGACGTATTTAATTTTTGTATTTTCTTATATATTGTTGCTTCGCATATCTATATTATGTGTTCATGTTTGTTAACTTACTGCCGAAAGCCTCGTATGTAGCGCACGAAAAGAATATGTTAAATAAAATAATATAATATGCCATTATACTTACAGGACCGATAAACCTCCAGATTTATACCATCGTGGTCTAAGTTCTCTGTATGTTGCTAAAAATTCGATCCCCGGTCTTTTTGGAAACTTTCCTTCGTGCCTGAAAACCTTTTCTATATCTTTCGGATCAAATAACGAAACTGCATCGTAGAAACCGCCTATAGACTCACGTACTATGGGACCATATATTTTATATTTCTTAAAACTTGCCTCGTGTAACTTTTTGTGGTTGTATTTACCTAAAATAAAGTATTGCGTTAAAGATATGTCACTAATTCCATGTATATTAGTTTATATCAATATACTGTACGTACCTATAAAAGGTAAATACGTCCACGTTGTTCCCAGAAATGGAATTTTTACGTCTCCTGGTATTTCTTCGAATGGTTTAGCATTAATTACATCTTCTGTCGTTTCTTGCTCAAATGCTATTGTAGTCTGAAGTCGAAAATTATATAATGATCTTTCTAAACTGATCACATTTCTAATTATATATCTAGATGCTTGTAGACTCGTCATTTTAATAAGTAACTGGAACAATAAGTAATTTGAATACAGTTAACATATATATGTGCCAAATAATATATAAACATACAGTAAATGAATATGCAATTATTAAGTGATTTCTACTTTCCTTAGTTCTAATTTAATGATAAATTATATACCACGACTATTGTAAATTCAATTTAGTGATGTTTAAAAGGAGACGTAATTATATGAATTGGTCAAAGATGCACAAAGATTCCAAATACGAGGGGCGATGAAAAAAATCGAATGTTATAAAATTGTATATATTGTTGAGCATTTCCTCTAGAAATACAGCACTAGTATTAATAAATTTTATTGTTTCGAGCAGAAAGCTCATACATAATTATATTTTTATTATTATTCAATGAATTGCATAAATGAAAATATTAGCATTCATTATTAAAAGATGCAAAATCAGCAGGTTTACATACATATCTGTGGATTGCAGTAAAAACAGTTACCGCAATACTTCGTTTCTCTCGAACTTGTGAGATATAACGATGCTAAGTTTAAATTCGGTATTGGATTTAGAATTAACGAAATAAGATATAAATTTAAATAATTAAATAAACAAATGAAAAATTAAGTTAGTCATATCTTCATTACAAGACGATAATTATTGTAAAAAAAATCCAGCAACGAGTTGCATAACATTTCCGGCAAAAAAAAATTATATTTGTATAATAGTTTATTTACAAACTTTTTAATATCATTAATTAATATAAAATGGCAAAATGCTTAATTTTTAGAGTAGAGATGAGTTTTATAACAAAAATTATAAATGCTAATGAGTAAAATCATCCCACACATTACTTCTCCTCTATCTCCCTCTCGATCTTTCACTACCAAACTTTAATAATATTAATTAATAGACTATTTCTAATACCCAAACTTCCCTGTAAAATTTTAGAAATATTCGTCAAAAAACACAGGAGTTATTAAGCTTCAAACTAGATTTACAAAATCGCGCCCCTCACACACATACACTAACATATATACACACAGAAAAAAACCGCATTTTTGTATTCCTCGACGTTTTAAAGTCCCTTGAGTCCAAAAATGTAAACAAAACACAAAAAAATTGACCGATCGCCATACTTTTCCTTTTTTTTTTTCCAACTACTTTGAACTTTGACCTATCGACCCGGAAGTTTCGCCAGCACCTCACTGATAACGAGGAAGGCCAGTTTTGAATTGTTCTTGATCTCTTATAGTATGGAGGCACTTCGATCTAAAGAAACAAGTTAATATATTCATATCACAGTTCGGACAGAATTGCAAAGTGATATTTCTTAATATATATTTGTGAGCAATACGTTGGCCTTCTTTATTGTTAGACTTATTACACGCAAGACCAGCCTTAGAAAATCACTTTATTTTTCCAAAAGAATGCATTTCGGACCTTAAATCTCTCATCTGCTTGTTGTAATATAACTATATTTTAAGAAAAAGCAAGCAAGTTAGATTATGTTAACATTAAAAAGTTTAAGGTTGTAATTCAACTTACATAATTATTAAATTGTAGTATAGTAATGAATCCTGTTAATATTGTAACAAACACGTGGAATTTTGATCAATAATCAATGATTTGTCATTGGCATTTTAATGAATAAGATGATAATTTAATTCGTTCATCTACAACTCAAAATGTCTTTTAGTGTCATAAACTATTTTATCGTCTATTGTTACTTTGTTTAATGTATAATAGGTGTTATTATACTCGTATATCTAAAAGTATATATTAATAATTGAATATCTTAGGACAAAAATATGTTAACTCAGTTTCTTTGTTGAACATTGTCGAATTTTTACCAACATTTGTACATATAATTCATGCATAACTTCTCATAGACTATCCCATTAAGTTTTCATAACATTAATTACCTGTGATCTATTCTAAAATACAGAGCAAATTCGGAATTTTAAGATAATCTCAGGAACAGGAAAAAAATGAGTTAACACGTTCTTGCTCCTTACAGTTCTTTTCCAAAAGTATGAATATAAATACTTACAAGTTAATACAGTTTTCAAGTTTTGCAAATAGTTTGATATTTATCAAACGAAAATTATTTTACACTTTGTTAAACTATTTCACTCTGGTTATAGATAATGTTTAAATCATTACTCTGACGTATACAACATTTACCTTGTTAAGTAATTTCCTCGTTAAGTAATATCCTTGAATTATTCAGTGCGCTCGATATAATCGAAAATATTATAAAATCAATTGAAAATTAAATAATTAATTATAAGAAATAAGCATATAAAAAATTTGAATATTCTGTATTATTAAAATTATCTTCAATAGAGTCCGATAAAAATCCGGCTGTTGTCAATTGTCATAACCACCCTTTCTCCCTTCCAGTTAAGATGCTAATCTAATGCAATTATTTAATTAATATTGTACGTTTAAACTGAATAAATCGATTTTCACATTTTAATTTTGATTTTAAAAAATAATAAATAATATAATCGTTCAATAGGAAATTTTAAAATATTTACCTTATTTGTTTAATTTTAAGACGATAAAATTTTTTTTTTTTTTAAGTTTTACAACATTCAATCATTAAAAGTCGTAGAGAAAATGGTAGTCTATGTCCTTTGTAGTAACTTTTTGCTATGCACTTGCACATTATTCCTTAACTTCTATAAATAATGTCACTGAAAATGAAATTAAAAAATTGCTACTTTCCTTGGAAACATACGCAATAAATTCTGCAATAATGTTTAATATAGTTTTTGATTTAAGAAATTTAATGCCCGAAGGAAGATTAGAAATAGGTTGATCTAGTTCCTTCCGGTTCTTTCGTTAATAGACTTGACAATTAAAAAAACGTAGATGAGATCATTCAATGATTATTACAGCTTGTTACAACAGCTATATGTGAGTTTGCCGACTTACAGGGGTTGAATTAGTTAATCTCTCGTCAGGAATGGTCTAGGGCAGTGTTTTTCAACCTTTGAGTCGCGACCCCCAGGGGGGGTCGCAAAGCCTTACACGGGGGTCGCGGATAAAAGAAAAAGACAAGTGTTTGTAGGTCCTACATTACAATAAAAAAAAACTACAATCTCAGTGAGAAGGCTGTGCCTGTTTATTTTACAATACAATTGGTTTTTTGATCGATGTTTAGGTCTCAACAGAAAGAAACTTAAATACGTAGTTTTTAAAATCACTGACATAGTTTTAATATGGCCCTGGGGGTGGCCAGAATTTTTTAACATGTAAAGGGGCTTATTGAAGAAGGTTGAAAAACACCGGTCTAGGGTCCGTTTGCATGTGGGTGGTGGAGTCGGAGGCAGAGACGACACATGTCCTTACAAAAACCGTTTATTATAGTAGATAATTGTTTATACGGATATTAACAGGAAGTTCGTCGTCGAAAGGTTATTCGAGTATTTGTCACAGTTCGTGATACGTCGGTTGATTCTCGCGCTGAGGGTTCGTTGACAGCCCAGGGGCAGAGACGATGATGATAAATTGGCCGGTCTAGTTGCGTGCTCGTCGAAGTTGGGATGCGACGGTATAGTCCAAGGCGGAAGTGACCAGGTTTATTGTGCATTTGAATTGGGGAAGAACTGAGTTTCGACCTTGAGATTCGGGATTTTTTATAGTATTTCTCTCTCGAATCTCACGTTTTGATTGGTCTTAGTTCCCTTGGATAGCTTTCCGATTGGTCTCTCTCCTGTTTCCAGGTGAGGTCTAAGATCCGTTTGGGTGGCGAGAAAGGTCCGTTCGGGACGGTCTACCCGACACCGTCCCTCGACTCTGACCGGGAGATGTTAATGGAACCTAGAGCTCTACACTCGTAATTTAACCCGTTATTTCCTTTCTTACGACATTTTAGAATTTGAACGATCCGGCGTAATGTCTCTTTGACCGCCGAACCTTCCCCTTTTCATGATTTCTTAATCTACCTTGAGCGTTTGTGTCAGAGTTCCATCTCGGTTCGACATTGACAGATCATTTAACACGTGTAAGAGCCGTCCCGAGATCCGTTGTTTACCTTTGCGCTGCGTTGTTTAGATAATTGCATTCTCTCTCTTTCTCTCTGTCTTGCGTAACCTTTCGTATAATTTAAACATTGAAAGTTTCGCAATTTACGCATTTCGGACCTCACACATTAAAAAGTTTTAAGCTGGATAGAAGTCTTCACCATCTTTAAACATCCAGCGTATAGTCCCGATTTAGCGCCGAGAGACTTCCACCTTTTTCCTGAACCGAAAAAGTGTCTAGGAGGGCAGAGGTTTGTCTCCCCTGAGTGCCCACTGTATCTGAATTTTATCGTGGCTACTACCTAAAGAGTTACTTCATTCTATTGAGATACAGAAAAGTAATTAGTCAACTTCAGTTAATGAACATAGATTTCAGATATTCACAGAAAAGAAAAAAAAACATTATTAAAGTTCCTTAAGCTAAAAATGATTCTGTAGACGTAGTAGAAGGCAAGTGGGGTGGACAAGAGTAGGAATGGGTTTTATAAAAAATTGTAAATGGTAATAACGAGTAAAATCGTCATTAAGTCTGATCCCACTCGAGATGTGATACACGACCCCCTTTATCTCCCCATCCCGTCGATCTTTAATCACTGAAATTTAACAGCATCAATCCCACTAATAAACAAACCGCCCAACAAAATTTCAGAAAATTTCGACAAAAAGTACAGGAGTTATTAAGCCTCAAAGAGGGTGAACAAATTCGTGCTCCTCCGTATACACATACACTAACATCTCTACATACAGAAAAAAACTCCGAATCTTCTTGCATTTCATGACGTTTCAAGGTCCCCTGAATCCACAAATGTAAAAATCTTGAGAGCCACTTTTTGACCGATTGCCATACTTTCCCTCTGTTATATATAACAGAGCCAGGAAAGTAATAATACGAAGCAATTAACATGTATCTTGTAAAATAGGCAAATGGCACTTAAAATTAATCGTTCGAATGCCGTTTTCTTATATGGCTATTCTGACTTGTGAGATATTTAACGAAATAGACGTGGAGCACACACACACACATATGTTGGGAATTAATTTTTTGACTTTTTCTGTGCGGAGATGTCAAAACACGATGATTCTAAAAGCAACGAAAGTCAAATATCACACGATTAAAATATTATAACAGCCGAAAAAGTAAACTTTACCTAATTATACTTCTATATTGCTATTGTAGAAAACTTAAAAAATTATAGAAAATTCGTCGACAATTACTTTGACGGGTAATTGTCGACGAATATAAATTCTCTATTAAATTTGATATAGAGAAGTGAGTAAAACGCAAAATCAATGAATTATTTCGTCAATCTTAACGTTGTGCTTATTGCAATTCTTTCACTTGATGGTTTACGCCAAATTAATTAAAAATTTTCGTCGGTGAATATTTATTTAATGTCTGTGAAAATTGTTTCCTAAACAATAAAGAAATGATTATCAAAAGTATTTTCGAAGAAATAAATTAAATCTTTATAGAAATAAAACTTTTGAAATTAATTTCTATTTTGAATTGTTTCGAATATAATAAACTACGCCATTCAACACACATGAAAGACTGCGGATGGATAATTAATATTAAGTTTCCTAATTTAAAGAGATTTCAACACAATGAGTTTAACATCAAATTATTCCTTAATAATTTTTAAACAAATTATTCTATGAAACAAATAATTCTTTATAATCTCTTTGTAACCTCACATTTATCCAATACTTCCGATTTTTCACTTAATGCCGATGATGATGGAAACATGACGTCAGTAATGCTCGTTGTAAAACTGACGTCATCTTCTGATGATTCTTGGTCAGTGCCCAATTCATTTTCTTCGTAGATTATTTCGTTGATCAAAGAACATCTTTCTAAATATATAAACGCTTTCTTCGATGGTCTTTTCTTGTGATTTTCAAAAGGAGTAATTTGATCTGGAGACAGACAAAAATTACACTCCTCTTCGTAATCGGAATCCTGCAGAAATAAAAAATATATATTAACAAATCTTAACTTCAGCTTCAATCCATATTCAATAGCTTTTTTAATAAACAAATATAATACAGTTTTGACGAAAGCAGAGAATCAAGGAAGTAATTCTAATTCCTGTTAGAATAATGCTACATTACTCGATTTTTTTCTTATTAACTCGGAAAAAAATTTATTTAATAAATAATCAATTTGCATCCATTTTAAATAATATATTTTAGAAGAATGTGCATTGTTGTGTTGTGTTTTTCAGTTTTAAACTTTTAAAAAATAATAATTATTAAATTAGTTTTAATTATTTCGATTGAATTATAACTTACAAGAGAAGACAATTCTGTTTCATCTGGATTATGAGCAATTTCTTCACGTGTCAGGTCTGCCATTCTACTTATTTCTGTTTCAGGGTCGTCGGTTGCCATAACATTTATTCCTTTGACGGAATCTCCCGCACTAACTTTATTCAGACTACATGCAGAAAGTCCATATGATAATCAGAAACTAGTATGAGTATCAAAACGGTGATTAATATATTAATATACAGTATATACAGTATATTTTTAATTTTAATTATAATTTGACATAAAATCGAGAAACACTCCAATAACTGAGATCTTAAATCATTTCCTTCGTTTCCCGAAGATGAAACAGACTATATTCGTTAAAATAATATTTTTCTCTAAAATTCGTGTTTAATAAATTAGTGTGAGAAGTAAATGTCTTCCACATATTGTTTACGGAAAAGGAAACATTTTGTCAGTTTTATGACAAAAGGGAAATTTCACTTCTCTTCCCACACTCCTTACATCCAAAGTTAGGGGTCCATCTGGATGTTCACTCCCTTTTCATATCACCGAACATCCCGTTGACATACGAAAAACCTTTCATTATGATTGGTTAAAAGAGTTCGAATAAGGAGAACCATTTCCTGCGATCAGGGAGTTCTCAGCTAGCTTCGTAAGAAGTGAGTTCTCACAAAGTTTCCAGAGCAAGTGGTCGGCAAGGTCTCCGAATTAGAGTTTTTCTAGGGCTCTGAACGCAAGATCTCGAAGAGTTTTCCAGAAGTTGCCAGAGAAAAGAGTTCCTAGCTCTAATCTCACTATTTTATTATTTGTGCGCCTTTATTCCTCGAAGATTCTCCTCCCCGTTCTCCGATCATATCGAAGAGCAGTCGTTGATCCTCAACTGTATGACTCCGCATCATCGAGTAGAAGAGCAAGATCAAGGCGAGATAGTATAACTGATATTTGTAAACTCTCTCTCACTCCGCGAGATTAGGTAAAGTTGTAAGAAATACTCTTAGCGT